TATTTTATATGTTCTCAAATCTCATATCTCAATGATTATTGGTAAAGCCTGATAGGTTCAAATCCTAGCATGGTAAATAATACCTGAACTTTCAAATATTTCACTTTAGTTTCTCAATTTTCAAAATTTCCACTATAGTTCCTAAACTTCATATAGAACTCATGTTAGTCTTTGCGATTAACTTTTCATTAATCATTAGAAAAATCTAAATTTGTTTCTTGAAACCTCTTCTACTAGATGTAGCTTAAAAAATTTACCAACACAAACATCTCCTCATCAAATAAATGAACAAAAGATACATTTATGAAAAGGAATTAACAATTATGTAAAGTTTGGAAACAAAATATTTAAAAGTTTAGTCCCCAAACAGCCCAGTCGACAAGGGCTTGGGATCTCTTGGTCATATTGGCTTAGAGGTCTCAATCTTAATCTTCTAGTGAGCTTAATACCAAAAACCTTTGATGTCTTTTGGATCTGGACCTTTGAGCGGGCACAGATGCCCTTGGGTATAGGGGAGCGAAACTCCGACTCCCAGTTCTAAAATATATATATATTTAAAAGTTTAGGAACCAAAATAATATTTCTTATTTCTTTTGATAGTTAGTGGACAAACTTATTGACAGTCTTTGAGACATCTTCAGAGCCCACTGATTCACACTGGTCAATCAATACCATTTTCACATTTCCAGTAATTGATTTTCAGGTTCTTCAAACATCAAAGTGCAGGATGAACAGACTGGAACAGTTCATTTAGTTGGTTCACATTCCATTTCTTCAGCCTGCAGATTGAATTCCCAATGGGCTGTGATCTTGTTGTTCCTGATCTTGCTTATGCACTGGTCAGCTCATTTCAGATGTTTCAGCTAACACAAAATACCATCACCCAAGAGGTAATATTTTTAGATAGAATCAAGTATAGAAGAAATCCTTGAGATTCATTTAACTGTAGTTGAAAACTAATCACAGTTGTGTATAATGGAGAGAGAAAAAGAGAGAGAGAAAAAGAGAGAGAGAGAGAGAGAGAGAGAGAGAGAGAGTTATCTTTCAAAGATGCTTCTCCTGGGCAATTTATTTTCCCATGGAGATTTTCTGAAGTAAATCATCTCTGATTGGTCTGTGTTTAGATTTGTAAAGTGAATCCTCTTTCTGCAAACAGATTTGTAGATTCAGTATAGTTTCTGATAGGGAAAAAAAAAGTGCAGGTAGTTTTATGAACTCAAGGGTTAACATGTAAGAAATATTTATTCTACTTGGGGGTATTGATAGTTCTTTAAGTTTTGTTTTCCTTTTTCTTCCATTTCTGTTCGTGCTAATTTGTTGGGAAAAATTGGGGCTGATTGTTAACAGGTTTGTATTTTGTGCATGGTATTAAATATCCGTCAACGTGTTAGACATTTATATCAATATTTTCATGTATCTATGGGTTCGGCATGAATGGTAAATTGACATTTCTATAATATTACAAAAAAATCGACAAAATATGAAAATATCAATAAAATTTCATTAATATGGACATAATATTAATGTTAATTATTTTTAACTTATTTAGAAGTGATTAAAGGCTTGTTTGTTAGTTTGATTTTAGGAATTTTTTTATTTTTATAACTTTTTCAAAAATATCTATTGACATTGGCATTTTATTGATATTTCCATCGATATTTTAATGAAATTGAGACTTCAGCCTTTAAAACCTTGATTTTGAGAATGAGTGGTGGTGGTTTAAATACATTTTTCTTAATTATTTTTTTTATAACTATGAGTAAGTGCTTTACTCTCCTATAATTTGGGAGCAGTGGGGTTCGTTCCTGCGAGTATCGGCCTAAATGGGGTGGAAAATCCTTGTTTAAATTCCTTGTGGGGCGAGGATGGAGGAAAATTTTTTCCACCACCTAAATGGGGACGAGGGTGGGGAATATGTTCTCCGTCCCCATTCCTCGATTCTCGCCTTGCATCATTTTTTTGGTAATATTTATGTATATGTACACACTAAAAAAATTACATTAGTCTCTTTATATATACATGTACTAAAAAAATTATGTATTCTTCTCTATCCACCCACTTAATATACATTTGGAGACAATTAAACCTTATAAATTAAGCAATTAAATGAAAACTTCTTTAAGAAAAAATATTTGTTGAAAAATAATTTTAAAAATATAATAAAGAAATGGGGAAAAATTTTCCTGTGGGGAATTTGATCTCCATCTCGATCCCCATAAAATTTCACGGGGAGTTTCATGGGAATGGGGACGGGGAAGCCTTCCCCATCCTCGTCCCATAAACATCCCTACTTGGGAGGCATCAAAGGTTTTGATATTAAGTTCACTAAAAGGTTCGAACTATAACTAAGAGATCTCAACTCTTTGCCAATCTATTTTTATATTGTTTAATGCTATAAATATGAAATTGCTTGGTGCGTTATTATAATTGTTATTATTCTACGATTTCAGTTTTTTAAAGTTTTTGAGAAGTGATATAATGCAGAATTGAAATTGCTACATGTTCGTGACGATGTGATTTGTAAAAGTCAATATAATGTTAATGTGTGGAAACTTTCGGACCAGAAAATAGTATGATTTATTCTCATAATAAAATGAAATATATCAAAATTATTTTGTTTAGAAAATTATTGAAATTCAAAATAAATGTTTGATGAAACAGCAAGTTGATCGATTAATTCAATAAAAATGAATTGGGAGACTAAAATGAATCAAAGTCGAAAGTGCATGTATGGACCAAATTAATTTAAGCCTAAATTTAAATATAAAAAGTAATAGACTTTGTGCTAAGCATGAACATCTACAAATTTAGTTATTTATAATAAAAACTAAGTTGATCTAAAATTTTTATTGGACACTTTTTGGAATTATTTAATGAACAATTTACAATACTTCCTAATTACCAGCTAGGGTGTAAGAATTCTATGCTTTTATTATTTTTTTTTATAGCTGACCAATTATTTTTTATTTAACCTATCTGGCTTCAAGAAAAGAAGTAGATGCTAATTATTGCTCATCCATGCTCATTTTGACCCTATCTGTCAAAAATTCAGAGGTAGATAACCGAATAAAAAAAAAAGAAATTATGTTGAATTTACATTTACCGGGAAGTATTAGTGTTATTGATAGACAAAAGAGATTGAAGTAAAATCATCAATTCAACTATTTGAATGGTCAACCAACTACTTTCAAAATGAATTGAACTTTGATACCACATCTATATTAGAGATATGATCACCTCTTTAGGTTGTACACGACTTTTACATTGTGATACGATATCAAAATCCTCTTACACCAAAGAGGCGTTGATATCAAACGATATCAGAACAATCGTGAAGTGGCCTATTAACCAAAGGGTTATGCAAACTCTTAGCACAAACACTAAAACCTACAAATTAATTTGATTACTTGAAGCCTTGAGTATTAGTATTATTATTTTATTTAATCTTAAAACCAAACTATTTTGTAAGTTCAAATTACAAAAATTTGATTTTTGAATTTTTTTAATTTCTAGAGCTGCTCTAAAAAGTTTCTTCTATCTTCAGATTACCAAATTGGAGAATTACCAAGGCCTTTCGGCGATTTGACGCCCCCCCTAAGCAGCTTACGGGTCATTACACCAAAGGCTTGAAGTGAACGAGAGAAGCTATCGAGAGAGTACCAAATGCTGACGATGACGAAGGTAACCTACTTTCAGTGGACGCGGAGCCAACGAGTTTAGTCGAACGATCTGATCTATGAGGTGTTTTAACTCTCGGAGGACGACTAAGAATGTCCCTTAAAAGGAGCGGACCGATGGGGTATTTTCAAGCACGAATAGAACGATTTAAAGGGGGTGTGCAACCTAGAGAGATGCGGAAACCTTCCAATCAGAAGAAACTTCCTCTTTGACTTTGAAGCTATAGAAACAAAAAGGCTACTTACTAGCTTTTCGATAGGAGTTTGTGCATGGGCACAAGCTCTATAGGAAAAAAAATAGTAGACATTCCATGCCCTCGGAGAGTGCCTCGTCGTGTTAGGTCACTGACATATACTTTTATCTTTATTTGACTCCAAGAATGGATTGGATCGAAACGACTTTCCTGTCGAACCCCTTTTGCTCAGTGTGCCCCCCTTTCGTCGAGTGCCACGACCGGTTCACTAGGCTGTCCGTAGCCGTAGCGAAAGCGAGTCTTCATGGGGCAAGTTAAAATAATAATAATAATAATAATAATAATAATAATAATAATAATAATAATAATAATAGTAGGTCCTTAAATTTGAAAAAAGTGTCTAAAAAGATTTTCATTTTTGTGTCAAATAGGTTGGGTCCTTGAACTTTAAATCTTTTGGTCTCATAAATTAGACACTATTAGACACAAAATTTGATAGTTGAGTGATTATTAGATACAAAAGTAAAATTTCAACGACCTATTATACACATTTTTAAGCTCAAGAATCTGACACAATATTGAAAGGTATGGACTTACCAAATAATTTTTCAGTTAGATAATTTATTAGACAAAATAATCAAAGTTTAAAGATTAAACTTAAAATTTAAATCTTTTTAAAACTAAAAATAAGCTATTTTTCCAAAATCTATTTTTGGTTTTTGAAATTTAGCAGATTTTAAAAAAGTGAAATACCAAAAATGATATAATTATTATTTTATAAGTTTAATTTTTGGTTAAAAAACACATTTGGTCCCTAGTCCCTGAACTTCAGTTTGTAATGAATTAGTTCATGTACTTTTAACAATTTAGTTCCTGAACTTTAACTTGTAACGATTTAGCCCATGTAGTTTAACATTTGAAACAATTTAGTCCTTATCGTAAAAATTGTTATTAAAAATAAGTGTCAACTTTTATCATATAACAATTTAATCTTTCTAATTTATAAACATATTTGGTCTCTTTTTAGTTTATCAATCTATACATACAAGAAATTTAACAAAAAAAAAAAATTCAGATAAGGACTAAATCATTACCAACTTTAAAATACAATGATTAAATTGTTACATATTAAAGTTCAACGATTAAATTGTTACCAATTTGAAAATACAAAAACTAAATCATTACAAATTAAAGTTGAGGAACTAACTTGTTATTTAGTGAAAGTACACGGACTAAAAATATTTTTTAAGGAAAAAGATCCTTACCAAAGAAATCTTAAATCTTGAGGTAAAAAAGAAAAAAAAAAACCCAATATTAATATTAAAACTTTTTGTTTTCTAAAGGGAATCGTTTATTGGTAGAATGGATAATACGACGTCGGTTTGCCAAATCTTCGCCAACTCAGATTTCGCAATCATTGCCTCTTTCAAAAGGCAACATTTCTTTCCACTTATTCAAAAATCTCAAAACTCTTTTTTTTTTAATTTTTTAATTTTATTTTATTTTAATTCAAGTACTTTATGATTTAAATTGTCGCACTCTAATAGTAACATCATTAACGAGCTTGCTTACAAGTCGTGTGAACATTGAAGTTTGTGTCATTGAAGATATTTGTATAGTGCTACGATAACTCAATTACGATGTCGTGTCACTAACCTAACATGATTCAGATTTACTCTTAAGATATTATCGAAGCCAACAACGAGAAGGAAATCTTTAAAGTATAAAAATTATGTAGATATTGTCAATTCAAACATAATTTAGTAGATAAAAGGGGAAAATACATTTTTGGTCCATGAGATTTGAGGTAGGTGTCTACTTGGTTCCGGAGTTTCAAAATGAACAGTTTTGGTCCATTAGGTTTGAAGTAGGTGTCTAATTGGTTCTCAAGTTTCAAAATAAACACTTTTGATCCTTGAGGTGTGAACTTGGTCCCTGAAGTTTGAAAAATAGTTATAAATCATTCCTAATTTTTTTAAACTGTTAATTAACTAATATTAAAATAACGTGACAAATTACAATTAAATTATTTATTATAGTTGTTAATGTGGTAAATTATATTAATTAAATAATATATGTGTAGTTGATGATACTTTCTCTCTCATCTCCTTGTCTCTTTCTCTCTCTTTGTCCTACCCTTTTACAGCGACCACCACGTCTTTGCCGCCATCGTTTATACCGGCCATATATCATTTAATTAATATAATTTGCCACATCAACAACTACAATAAATAATTTAATTGCAATTTGTCATGTCATTTTAATATTAGTTAATTAACAGTTTAAAAAAATTAGGGACCATTTAGCACTATTTCTCAAACTTCAGGGATCAAAAGTGTTCATTTTAAAACTTCAGTAACCAAGTCGACACCTACTTTAAATCTCTAAGGACCAAAAGTGTTCATTTTGAAACTTGAGGGACCAAGTAGACACCTACCTCAAACCTTCTTTCCCTTTTTTGTTATTGAAAAAAGGCAACTTTCTCGCTTGTTGCTTTAGAAAGCCTCCTAGCCGAGGGACGGATCGTATCGGAGTTTCCTTAGGTAGCCACGTTTGATCTCCTAGAAGTGGAAGTTGAATCAGTTGCAGGCTATAATGTACAGAATATGCATCGAGGACACGTCTGAAGAGGAGGCGGGCACAAGGACCAAAAACGTATTTTGCCCTAGATAAAACATCTATTACCATTCTAAAAGTTAATGTCGAGATTTCGCTCCTCGCAACTTTTAAAGTCAAAAGGAAAAAAAAAAAAGAAAGAGTTATTGACTAGTCACACCATTTGGTTGTTTAATGAAAGTGACTAATTTTGAGATATTATCAAAATCCGGGAATGATTTTACAAACATTTTAAACTTTCATCCTTTTAAAAATACAATAATCCAATCTCTCCAATAAATTTTTTTCCAGAAAAATGAGAAAAGAAAGAACAACTTCTATACAACAATAGTACAATTTTTTACTATAGCAAAAACAAAAGTACAATCTATTGTTTAAAGCAATTTTTTTTTCCTTCAACATATATAATTTAGATTATAATAATTTAGAATCTCATTCTTATGAAATACTAAAATGGATAAAATTTCATTTGAAAAGTTGAGCAATTCTAAATCATAATATTCTTTTTTTTTTCCTCATTTTTTGATCACATTAAATCATCTTTAGTTTAATTGTGCGGTATTTTATAGTCCTCGTGGATAACTATTTCACTTTTAGTTTTTAAAAAAATCCTTCCATCTTCGACTCCGATCTTAGGTCATGCATTTTCTTACCATGGGTCCATGGAACTAGTTGTTTGTTAGAATCTCGGAATGGAATTAGTTATCGAATCCGCCTCAAATTCAGGAATCATCTTCCCGACAATGATTTTTGGGATAACAACATAGGTGAGCCTCGTTTAAGAACCATATTAATGGAATAAGATTACGTAAGAGTCTGAATATGTTTTATGGTATGATTTTCGAGTTATGCATTGGTTATTATTGGTTGGGGCATATGATTTTATGTCTATGAATATGTTTAAGGGTATGATTTTATATAAATATATTGGGTATTATTGGTTGGAGTATGATTTTATATGTTTAGGAATATATTGTGGGTAGGACGATTTAATAGATATATATGTCTCTAAAAGTATCCAATAAATCTCTAAATTTTTAATTTTGTGTTTAATAGATCTTAAAATTTTCAATTTTATGTCTAATAGTTATTGTCACAAAAATTCATTGTTTTGTTAGAGACAAAATTTAATTAAATTTTTTTAATGGAAAATACAAAATTCAATTTTTTGTCTTAACACATTTGTTAATTTTAAGAATGGTAATAAACTAACACTTATTAGACAAAAATTCAAACTTAAGAGGCTTATTAAATATTCCTAATGTTTAAGATCTATTGGACAAAAAATTGAAAGTTCAAACACCTACCAACATTCAACTTCCATTTATTTAATTATTATCCTTGATTACTATTAATTGATTTGTTAAAATATAACTAATTGTCAATAAATATAAAATATAAATATTTTTTGAATAATAATTTCCATCAATATAAATTTTTTTTATTATAATAACATTTTTATGGATGCTATTTCATTATAAAATATTTTGATTTTACCAAAATGAGTATAGCTCAACGGTAATTAGTCCATATCTCCAACTAAGAGGTTGTGAGTTCGATCCACGATTCATTCTTTCTCCAGAGGATAAAAAAAATTGTCAAGTATAATAAGAGACTCATATTCGAATAATTTTCTCTCTTCGGAGATCTTATTATTGTTTTTTACTTTATTTTTTGCTAATGGCCTCTTACCCTATCGTAAGTAGGTCTCTCGGAGCATTTCTTAAATGAAAAGATAAGTATCAAGAGGTATTGTTCAAACACACTATTGTTGATTACTATTAATAAAGAAAACAATAGTAATCAAATCCCTTCAACCCGATGTCTCATCAAATCCCTTCAGAGTTAGCTTTATAAAGAAAACTCTTTGATTACTATTAATAGATAGGTAGCTTTGTCCCCCAAATTGCAAGTTGTACAAGTGAGAGAAGAAACAATATTATTTCATCTATGGCCTCTCCAACGAGTGAAAATTATATCTCCAGAAATGTTATGTTATCAGCAATTCCAAGACCCGGTCGTTGAAAAGGTTTCTCACACTCCTATTAATATTGACCGTCAAGCAAATATAGAGTCTCTCGTTTATATTTTTAAAACGTCCATTTTGATCGGTATACTTTTTAGCTTTCGTATAAGATGAAAATGAACAAAAACGAGGTGGATTAATTTTTTTTTCCCAATGGAGACAATACATGACGTCAGCATTATCTGTTTCCTAAAGCCTTTTTTTATTATTTAAAACGAGTTTCTAAAATATTTAAATCAAAGTAGTAATTTGGATAAGGAGAGAGAGAAAAAGAGAGGGGGGAGAGAGAGAGAGAGAGAAATTCAATTTTTTGACTTCGGAAAACGAACGAATCAGAAGATCCTGGTTTCGCCAAATCGTGGATTGTTCTTGAGGAAGATGAAGATTTTTTGACTTTCTTCTCACAACTCCAGCTCTTCCTCACTGATCAATCGATATGTTGATACAAGTAAAGTGCCTTTGAAGATCTTATAGTTTTTCGCTTTATTCTCCGTTTTGTCGTCTTTGAATTTGGAGTGATTAATCATTGCTTCTGGTCGGTTTGTCGTTTTTTGTTCGTTTCCTTCATCCAACGAGTTTCGATCTCCTATGTTTTGCTTGTATTTTTGCTTGTTTTGTTATTGTTATGTAGTTTTAACGAGTGGTGATTGGATTTGCATCGATGTTATTGATTTTTCATTTGTGATGGATCGGTGTTTATTCGCTGCATCTTCAGGCTTCGTGCAGCAAATTCGATTATTCGCTCTGGCGGTCTTTTTTTGAGAAATGTGCCGCTGATTTGGTTTGAGAAATCCAGAAGAATCTGCTGAGGATTTCCATCGAATTGGAAGGTTCTTCGCGACGGAGTCGGCGGTGGAATTGCGTGGTTCTGACCGTTTGGTAGGTCTGGAGTGTTTTCTAGACGTAGTCAGAGCCCTCGGAATGGGATCATGCCTCTCCGGCAACCGCACCAAACGCGCGATCCCTTATTCTGAGCTCGCTTCCACTTCTCGTAATGATGGCCTTGTTACTCGGAGGAACTCGAAGAGAAAGGGTTCCTCCTCTCCCTCTAATGACTCCGGAAGGGAGATGTCGCTTCATCGAGTTCCTGGCCGGATGTTCTTGAATGGGTCAACAGATCATGCTTCGCTCTTTACTAGGCAAGGCAAGAAAGGCGTTAATCAGGACGCTATGATCGTCTGGGAGGTTTAATTCTTTCCCTCTATATTTTGCTGGTGCTATGGTGCCATTTCTTGTGAATTTTGATGGTATATCATTTTCTGTTGCATGTTTTAGTGTTTGTGTTTTATTAGAAGCCAAGTCACACATATCTAAAATCTTGTGTTTAGTTTTTGGTGGACTTTGAACTCAGTTTATCTTAGGATCATCTTTCGAGCCGTGGCTTTTAAGTTTATATGTTTTTTTTTTCTTTTTCTAATAACCGGGAGTTGGAGCTTCCCTCCCTTGTACCTAGGGCACCCACGTCCGCACCAAGGATTTTAAGTTCATATGTGTTATTAAATGATTATTCAACTGTTTGCAAATTTGTGGTCAATGCTGTATCTGCTTTTTTTGTTATTTTCTCCCTTTTAATATACAAGTGTATATTTTCATTAACCTATTTTCGTTATGAAGTAATAAGCTTTATATTGATCACATCTAGGAAGTGAGAGACGAATCTGTAAAATGTAGAACCCATATATTTTTATTTTAAAAGTGATTATTTGTTTTCTCCATTGCTCTTAATGTTTCCCGTGCTACTCCTTTCAATGAATATAACATCAGCTTTTATTTTTCTGCATTTATGTTTTAATATATTTCTTTGTTGCCTCTGAATAAGGACTTCTCTTGTTTAGAATTTTGGTTCCAAAGAAGATACATTGTTTTGTGGAGTCTTTGATGGACACGGTCCCTTTGGCCATATGGTTTCAAAGAAAGTCAGGGATTCTCTTCCTCTAAAACTGAGCGCTCAGTGGGAATTGGATGAGACCAAAAAGGAAGGGCTATCGGATGCGAGTAGTATTTCTCCAGGGCATCAAGTCTCTCCACCAATGTTGGTTTACAAAGACTCTGGGACCTCTCATTGTGGCCTCAGTCGTCAGGGCAGTTACAACGACGTTTATGTCATGTTGAAAGAGTCTTTTCTGAAGGCTTTTAAGGTGATGGACAAGGAGCTTAAGCTACATCCACAGATTGATTGCTATACCAGTGGTACAACAGCAGTTGCTTTGGTTAAACAGGTGTTGACTTACAGCTCTTGTCATTTTCATTACTGTTACAGCTCTCGTCATTTTATCTTTTAACTCTTTTTGTGATAAACAGGGTCGGAATCTTATCATTGGAAATGTTGGGGACTCGAGGGCTGTTTTAGGTACCAGAGATAAATTTGATTCTATCATTGCAGTTCAGTTGACCGTGGACCTCAAGCCAAATCTTCCAAGTATGCCTCTACTCTCTTCAGACTTTCCCTGTAACTATCAATTTATCTTTCCATGTATCTTTTTACATTTGTGTGTATATACAATGTTATATTTCCAAACTTGATCAGTGCTCGTTTTTATTTTTCGAGATGAAGAATTTTGGCATGACATAAATTTCTTCTTGTTCCCCTATTTTAGATGCTTGTTGCATTTTTTTTTTTTTTTTGGAAAATCACATCGTTTTTCAAGTCAAAGGGGCAATCAGGATTTATGATGGAAGAATGTTTATAAGCAATTCTTTCTGATGAATTCAATGGTTTATTAGGTGCCCTAGATAATACTATGTTTGATGCTAAAAATAGATACGAACTTGAACATTTCCATTTCACCAAATTCTGTATTTCTAACATGCCATTACTGCATGAGTACTAACTGTTAATCGTGTCCCTTAGATCCTTTATTGATTTGGCATTTGGATTCCTCCTTTGAACAAGGAAAAGAAATGGTTATGTTGAGGTTGACATATGGTTCTATAAACTTCATGACCTGCACTCTTTGAATCCAGCACCCTCTTTTTCCCACTTTTGAGCTGGCTGATATGATGGTTAGAGCAACTTCTACAATGGAATAATAGCGTGCATGTACTATTTCCCTATATAGAATATTAGTAAGCATCTGGTAGATAAGGATGAAAGTTTCCAGGATATGAGAACTTTTTAGCTTCTCTACACCGTGTTTGTATTCCTTGATCTTTTCTTCCCTAGTTTTACATCATGGCTTATGCTTTCCTGTCTGCAAAAAGTGACCACCAAAAAGCCGGTTTATGATACTAATTCTATAGATTCTTTTTGATTATTTGGTATTTTGTTTTTCAATTGCTCTCATTTAATTATTAACCATTATTCTGAAAAATATTACTTTAGCTATCTGGTTTCGTATATCATAAAATTAGATGCATAGATCCTTAATGCACATCCTTTCTGAGGATATATTTGAAAGGCATCGTGCTAGCCAAAGGTGATGGTTAAATAAATCTGGAGCTTGTATTAATTTTTGTTAATTTGGTACCACAGCGATCATCATAAATACCTTTTGCTAGAAATAGTTCAGGGTCCTGAAGAGTAAGTTTGCGCAAGAGAATTTCTTGTTTGTGTGTGTGAAGTTTTTTGTTTCTTCCTCTGGTAGGGGAAGCTGAAAGGATCAGACTTTGCAAAGGAAGAGTCTTTGCTCTTCAAAATGAGCCCGAGACTTTTCGGGTTTGGCTTCCTAACAGCAATTCTCCTGGTCTTGCTATGGCCAGAGCGTTCGGAGATTTCTGTTTAAAAGACTTCGGCTTGATTGCTGTTCCTGACGTTTCTTATCATCCTCTTACCGAGAAAGATGAATTTGTGGTACTGGCTACAGATGGGGTAAGATGTCTAACCATTATATTGGACTGATATTTTGATCATTTGCAGATTTTCATCGATGGTTGACATCAAGTATCACCTCTTATGAAACCTTTTCCTCATCCATGCCATTTTTTTAATTAGAAAATCAATTTCATCGAGAGGAATTAAAGAACAAGAAGAAGACATCGAGAGAAAATGGGCCACGCCACACCAACCGAAAAGGTTACAAAAAATAAAAGACAACAATTACCGATAAAAAGAACCCCTAAATTGTCTAGTAATCAAACAAGAAGCAAATCTCTTAACATGATAAAACAAAAAATTCAAAACGAAGTACTGAAGTGATTGCCATTAATTTGTCCAGTTCCTATTTATTTTGAAAATAGAACCATGAGAGGAATCCTACTAGGATAGAATTAGGAATATTATCAGGGTGTTAAGGGTATTTAGTAGTTAGATAAAGAAGTTGTCGGGGGATTTGCTACAAATAGAGTGGGAGGAAAGAGATGAAGGGAGACGAACTGGTTACTGTGGTTTAGGCAGGCTTGAGTGATTTCTAGAGGGGAGGGTTGGTCCAAGTACCTCGAATTACTTGAGAATAATTGTAGTCTTTCTATCATTTTATCTTTCAATCCATTTCAACTATTTGGATTCCATCAAACCACAAATACGAAGATGGCTTAGACTGCTGTAATTTTTCTTATTGACCTGGGCACACTCTGTTCTTACATTTTTTATAGCGGCCACAGTATCTGTTTTGGAGAGCTCAGAGTGTGAACCTAACTTGTCATTCAAACAAGGCTCTTTTGTTCTGATCTTTTTCATTTCAAAACCTACATTCCTTTTTTGCTACTTGTTCGATCTCGCAGGTCTGGAATGCTCTCTCGAATGAAGAGGTTGTGGCAATTGTTGCATCTTCTCCTAGATCCTCTGCAGCACGCGTCCTTGTGGACTCGGCTACTCGAGCATGGAGATTCAAGTACCCTACTGCCAAGGTGGATGATTGTGCAGTAGTATGCCTGTACCTGGATTCTAGCAAGAGTGCTCCAGTGACAGCGAAAGGGCAGGTAAAGAGGCACTCACTAAACACAAACCAATATGACAGAGGGAGTAGAAGTCATAGATTTCATTTCGTTATAGTTTCGTCGGGCTAGACATTCGAGAAACTCAATTTCTAACAATTGGCTTTTGTTTCAGGGGCTGCTTACCAATGATATGGACACTCAGTAGAGCTCTTGCCTCGCTACGGCCGCTGTTCTCTCTCCCGAAACACTTGATTGGTTCAGGCGAGTTTTGGAAATAAAGGAAAATCTTTATTCCTATCATGGTTATACTTCCTCTTCATTCTTTAAATCATTGATTAACTATATATATATGTATGTATGTATATTTTCTTGTGTTTATAAACTGTTGGAGATGAATGCTTGTTGGTGGTCAGTTGGCTTCATTGTAGTTTTTTTTTTTTTTTTTTCTCCTTTTTATAGGAGAAATTTTGAAGCCATGATTGATTGTTTATTTCTCTAAGGAATGATATATAGATAAAAGTTTTTCTTTCCTCCCTAGTTTGGTAGATTTGGATCTTTTTTGAATTCCAAGTCTTGAGACTAACTTTGGAATTTTGCCACTCATGTTAATGTAAGTATGTTGTTACCTCCTTTTTCTTTTTAGGTTTAAACATTATTTTGGTCGTGGAATTTTCGACTTTGGTTCGTTTTGATCCCTACATTCATTCTAGTTCATGTATTAGTTTTTGTACTTTTTTTAAACATGCATTGTTAGTCTTTCTAACATGACATTTCACTCCTGAAATTTCTTAAAATGTAACGATGAATTTGTATTAAAAAGTTTGCATTGTGTATAAAATTGATGTTAAAATTTTCTATAAAGAGATCAAATTGTTTGCTTTTAAAAAAAGCAAAATGATCAAAATGGACATTTTAAAAATACATAACGTTGGAAGGATGAAAATGAACCAAAGTAGGGATTGAAATAATATTTAAATCATTTTTTTATCATTATATTTTCATTTGATTTGTCTTGCTTTAATTAAAAAAAGTAAAAGAAAAGCTTGGGGGATTTTGGAAAGAAACAAGAGGAAAGTCTGAATTTTTTTTTAGTATAACATATTGGAGAGGGGATTTGAACTCCGATCAACATGTCAATTACTGTTGAACTAAACTTGTTTTGACAGGAAAGTCTTGATGTTTGAATTGTACCTAGTCCCAATTGTTTTTGGGCTAAATTTTCAATTTGGTCCTATATTTTGAAACCCTCAATTTTACTCCTAATTTATCAAAAAAAAAATCTTAATTGAATCCTTTCGGAAAAAGAAAATGGTTAAAATTTGTTAACAAAAAAATGGATGTATTATTAATTATTATTACTTTCTCAATATATTTTCACGTTTAAATAGGTCACTTGGATGTTATTTGACATGAAACATAAATTTTCATCGGTAAAATTCATTTTCTTGAAATAGCATATTAGTGTGCTTAAATATGTTAATAAAATAATAATGTAATGACACATCGTCTTTTTATGATCAAATTTTAATTATATATTAAGAGTAAATTTGAATCTTTAATATATTAAGAGTAAAATTTTAAATTTTAAAAGACTAAAGATCAAAATAGAGAATTACCCGAAAGATTAGAGATAATTTAATATATTTAATGGTATGGGCTTACATTTAAATTTTGGCTTCTCCAATTTAAAAAAGTTCTTTTTAGTACAAGTGAGGTGCAGCTAAACTCGTGTTGGCAAAAAAAAAAATTTTGACTTTTATGATTTAGTTGAACTTTATAAATTGTTCGTGCGATTATTGTATTAAATAGTGACATGTTTTGAATTTACTCTTTGTAAAATTTAATTAAATCATAGAGAATAAATTGGAACTTTTAAATTCAATGGAAATAAATTGAAATATATGAGTTCAATTTCTCCCTATGTTGTACTAAAAAAACCCTAAAGATGAAATAAAAAATTAAAAAAATTGTCAACTCAAATTTTTGGAAAGAAAGTGACGTGATTATGACCTAAAAAACTTATATTAAAAAAATGCTTAGAGGTTCCTTTCATTCAATTGTCTTCTGCAAATTGCTAATGGAACCATTCATAAAGTTCTTAATAAAATGGGATTTAAAAAAAATGAAATTAGTAAACTTTTTTTTTACATAGGCCTTTATTATAATGGGAAGTCTTATTCTTCTTTTTCTTCGATCGAATTCTATTTTGAATGGTACGACTCTTTCAATTTTTGTGGTTGGCTGTGAAAATACTCTTAGTACCTCCATACCCAAAAGAAGGGGCACAAATAAAATACACCATTTCGTACCTTTGAAGAAAGAAGGGAATCCTATCGACGAGGTGCTTTTAGACCAAAAAGATCCAATGTTTAATGAAATCAATTACTTTTTAGCTATCAAAATCGAAATTGCCTCAACAGATGCAAGATAAACCTTGGTCGTATGAGAATAGATTATTTGTGAAATTACAATTTTTTAAATAATAGAGTCCATTAAAATTTCCATTCGGTATAGAATTTGTGTTCAAATCTAAAAACAAGAACTAAAAAGTACTTTTTAAAATTGCAGGTACCAAAACAGATATTTTGAAAATATAGACTAGAATAAATAAAACTTAAAAATTAAGTAAAAAACCAAAATAGACCTTCTAAAAATATAAAAACCAAAACGAAAGAAAACTGAGATTACGTGGACCAAAATAATATTTAAACCTTATTTTCTCTAATAAGTTTCCATTAGCTCACATATTATGACTAATAAACTGCAAATCTATTGGGTTAACAAAGGTTGACCAAATTTTGCTACAATAAACAGAGAGAGAGAGTCTTCATTTCAATGGAGGCAGTGGCTCATGAATTGGAAGCAGCTTCTTGTAAAGACTCTTCTTCAGGGGCTTTCTCAACACCATCACTGAAACTGGGAGCTTTTGGGATCAGACCCAGCATCTTGAACATGAGTTGATCAGCATCGAAATCATTATTTGGCGTCGTTAGCAGTTTCTCCCCGGTGAAGATTGAATTCGCTCCGGCAAGGAAGCATAATGCCTGCTCAGGCACGGAGAACTTCACTCTACCTGCTGACAACCTCACCATTGCTTTCGGCATTGTGATTCGTGCTGTGGCGATCATTCGAATCATCTCCCATATTTCAACAGGCTGAACAGCAAGGTAAGAAAACCATTCACTATAGAACTCAAACCAACTAGCTTTTAAGATGAGGTAATTTTGCAACACATATGAACACAAACGAATTCGAGAGTGACAAACAACAAGGTTATGCTCAAGTAAATAGGAGCTACTTTTTGATCTTGAAGAGGGGTTCCTTTCACTGCAACAAGCGCGTTGATGGGAACACTCTCAGGGTGTGACGGTAGCGTCGCCAAAGTATGCAGCAAACCAACTCGGTCCTCTTCTGCCTCTCCAAGCCCAATTATTCCTCCTATTGCCAGAAATTAAAATTGTCACCAAATTCTCATAAGATTATTTACCAATGAAAGTAGCAATGCCAGAGTCGTTTAGGACAAAAGGGATGGAAAATTTACAACGCTAAAATTAAAGATAATGTTTTAGCTTACAAAAGAAGTCACTACTAGTAAACTAATACCTGAGTATTTATCTTTACATGGTCTTTTCTTTTCAAAGAAAAAGCTGATAGAACCTCGATTCTATTATTTATGTTCAAAGAGGAATTACAAGGGCCAAGTGAGATTTCAAGAGCTACCTATTCTTTCCACACTAATTCTTAACAAAACCAGCAAAAAGATGCCCCTCCCTCATACTCCTAGCCAACATATACCTTGTACTACTAATTACTTTCTTTTTTTTTTTAATACTAGTGAGTGTCCGGACCAGCTTAAATTACCATATTGCCCGACTAACAACTCTAATAGAATTTCCTCACATCCCACTCACATCAGCTGCTCTCCCCCTCTCTAGAACATACTTTTCTATTTTGGGGCCTATCAGTAACATTGTAACAGTATGCCATAAAAAGAGAGTACAAAAGGGGAGGAGGCAACCCCATAATCTAGCCAAAGGAGTTAAAGACAAAAATCTCTATAATTGGCTTGAACATCAAAAGTAAAACTACTAAGTCTACCAGGTTTTTTTTTTTTTTTTTGGTATCTTTCATCAAATCAATAAAAAAATTTGTCTATCATAAAATTGAGAGTGAACACAGGGAAAAAGTCTCTCTGAAATGTTTACCATCATAATAATACCCCATTAGAGAAGTAGATAATGTCATGGAAGGCCAATAATAATAAATAATAATTTATTGTACCAGAAGCCAAAGAAGTGATACATGTGTCCCTTCATTAACATCCCTTTACCTCCATCATCAGGGAAGTGAAGCCCCCAAATCATGAACCCGGAATATCAGGGATAGCCTCACTATGATTATAAACAACGGAAATCTCTCCTTGTTTAGTGCTTTGGAGGGGGTGACCTCCACCCTCTGCCCCTGGGCTGTTGTTTCTCCTATTCTTTCATTAATACATTTGGTCTCTTATCCAAAAAAATAATAGCAGTAATAAATGCAATGTCCTCAGGTCCCTCCATCGTTAATAACCGTTCGGTTTAGTTGGTGTACTTATAGATGAAACCTTAAACCATTTTCGAATCATATGTCTCACTGAAATGAATATTATCCTCTTCCAATTGTCACAATTATAACTTTAGTAGACATCTTGACTTTCTGACCATTTAGAACATTTTTCCAGGAATATAATTTTCCTTGCATAAGTTATCGATCCTAAATAATTTCCAACTGGGGAGCCCCTTTTGCAATCTCAACCCCTCTTTCATAAGCCATTTCTTCTTAGTTATTCATTAATGAAACTTTTTCCTACAAAATAAGTTTTGAATCTAGGAATATCTGATCTTAATCAACATACCAATCCAAATCAGAGTAAAAATCAAAGATGTACAACATTACCTGAACAGACATTGATTCCAGCATCACGAACAAATTCAAGGGTTTTTAGACGCTCATCATAACTCCTTGTGGTGATAATATTTGGGTAGTATTCCCTTGACGTGTCTAGGTTGTGGTTATAAGCGGTGAGGCCCGCCTTCTTGAGTTCTTCGGCCTGTTGCTTCTCTATCATGCCCAAGGTGCAGCAGACCTCCATCCCCATCTCTCTAGTAAATCACAGATAAATTTGATTTAAAATGAATGTTCGATGGAAAAGTGATTGCTTAAGTCAAAAGAGTGTTCGATGGAAAAGTGATTGCTTAAGTCAAAAGAGCTGTAATTGTGGGACATGCTCGCCAAAAATTCAGATTCTCAATCATGAATTTCACAAGCTTGATTCGACAATACTAAAGAGTCAACCCTTGCTATTCCTAACAATTGCAGAAATCTTTAAAGGAGAAATATTTTATTGCTAGTATGAAGTATTACTAAAAAGGGGAGGAGAGTGAACCCCAACCCCAAGCCTTCGGAAGAGTACAAAAAATTCTTACAGAAGGCACTATATCAATAAGACTATAATTTTTCTTCAATTTTAATCATATTCACGTGTCTTAGGATTTCAACCAATGACCCATCCAAGCACACCCCCGCTCGCCAACCTGCAGGGCGGTTTGAAAGTGCTTGAAGCATAAAAGAAAGAAAAGAGTGAATTAGTGAGGTCAGGTGCAATAAAATAATAAAAATTTCATAATGTGAGGGATGAGATAGAGAAACATGAGAAAAGATGAAGCCTTTGTTTAAGAGATTGTGTTTAGTATAGGCATCCTGGCGACTTTCTTCCTAGTATGCATAGAAAAGAAAGTTGAGAAAATACAAGTACGAGACTAAGCGCTTTAAAATCATTTTCTCAATGTGCTTTTTAATCAATTTCAGGCTAAATTCTCTGCTCTTCGCTATCACTCACTCTAAGATACAATAGCATTTTTGTCATTACCTTCCTATAACCTAACAGGAGTGGGGGAATATAAAAACTTGTTCCCACTTTTGTCCATTTCTTTTAGAAATCCGTCTATTTTTAATCTGCATTCTGTAAGTAAACTTTATTTCAGTCGAGGTGAAATTTCGTACCTTATTTCTTTTACGTAATCAAGTATCTGATTGAAATTAGTTTTTCTTCCTATCGTGTCCCTCCAAGCTGCACCCATACAAAATCTTGTGCTACCAGCCTCTTTGGCCTGCCAAACAATGTGAATATATGCTTTAGATGGTGCTCAAGGGAAAGAATATGAGTTATAACAAATTTAAGAAACAGGACTGTAAATTTTCAACAATATTTATATGGTTAAGGGGAGAAGATTAACTTGGCCCTCATAAGCAAAAAAATCTAGGGTTGTAACACATAGCGTTGGAAGTATTTAACTAGATTATACTGTTAGAACTTTTGGAAGTATTCAACGATATTCTTTTGGATTTTAGTTCTTTTCTGCATAGTTATATTTAAGACTCCTTTTGTGGGGCTGGTATTTTTTTGTATGTTCTTTTTTTTTCTTCTTTTTGTGTTTCTTAATGAAAGTTTGGTTTTTCATCCAAATATATATATATGAATGTCATTATTGGTTAGCACCTACAATGAAACTCAGCTCCAATGAGCCGAACAATTTGCCCAAATTAAAATGGATACCTTTTTGGCTGCCTCCAAGACGACATCCTTTGTCATAAGTTTTTGAGCTTTTACTCCAGTGTCATATCTCGAGGATTGAGGACAATATGAGCAATCCTCACTACACCCACCTGTTTTGATTGAAAGAAGGGTACACTGCTGCACCTCCCTGAAATTATGTGTGTGCCTATGAACTTGCGCCTAAACAAAAAAAAATGTATTTATATATATTAGCAAACATAATTAATAGGAATAAAAATACATGGAACTATTGCTTCAAGTAAAATAAACCCATTTGATAACTTGACATTTGAAAAGGAGGTCAAGTTGCACTGTGAGAAGAAGAAAAATCGTAACACCACCAGTGTAATGAGTCACTTCCCATAAATAAATTATTTGTTAGGAACCAACAAAGTAAACAATTGGAATTATGTTACATTTATAGATGATTGGTAATTTCCATGATATACTAGATGCCATATTCTGCCTCTAGAGCAAGGAATAGGAATATTTTTTTTAAACAATAAACGAGACAGACTCCCGAAAGAGTGAAAGAAAAAGGGAGAAAACATAAGGACTAAACCTCCAAAAGGGGTAAATCAAAAAGAAAAACACAACAGAAAACAATAAAGCTGATGATGGGGAGAGAGTAGTTTAAAAATAAATTGGAAAGAGAACACCATAAATACAGTTCGGGTTCGAACTCCATAGATAATATGGATGGTAATGTATATAATGATAGGCAAATGAAAGACTTTCTAAAGATTTTTATCCAATCACATGATATTGAGCATGTTTCCCATCTCTTCTGGAGAAACAAATGGGCTATTTCTTAGCCGGATAAGACTTTAATCTAGCTGCTTCAAACCCGGACCGACCAATGATTCTGAGAATCTCTGAAGATTGTGGCTCTAGAGCGATAAAAGGAACAAGATAGCCATTTCCCATTTAAAACAAGAAGAATATTCTCAAACTCCTCCTCTTGCAGTAGTAATTTTCCAACTTCACATATCGTCCACACCCAAGCATTGTTTATAGTAGTAACATTCTTGGAAAAAATGACAGCAAATAAGTTTGGAAGTCTCTCCAACAACAGTTAATCTGCCCAACCCATTTAGCTTTCCAAAGCAGAATTTTCTCTCGGTTTCTCCATTTCCCTCTTTCCTTACACTCAACAACCCAATAACGACAGAAAATTCCGCAATCACAACAGAAATAGAGAGAGAGTATACTGACCCCATGGAAGAGTAGATCAAGAACGGGAGAATCGTAAACATCCCGAATCTGTTGCCGCGTCCAATTGTTCCTGGGGCCATCGCTGAGTACCCTCTCGGCTTCAATTGAGGCTGCGGAAGAAGCTGAATTAGAGGAAAACAGGCGAGAAAAAGCAGGAGAATGGCGGCAAATGTCGGAGGGCCTCGGCTGGGACCGGAAGAAAGATCGAACAAATAACATTTTCCGGTGTAATGGGTACCGGCGGGAAGAATTTTCCGGCGGAAATGTAAGGCAGAGGAGAGTAGGTGGAAGGAAGCTCAACGGCTTAAACCCAACTCTCAGTTTCAGTGTTAAATTCGCTGTGTGATCTCCGCCCAAAGTGGAGCTTTCATTTTATATATATATATATATTTATTTATTGGTTAAAAACTACAAAGTCTTGTTTATAACGATTTAGTCTCCATCGTAAAATTTTTTGTTAATTTTGTATATATGCATGTGTCTTGGCTAGCTTGTTTGCACGTCGATTAATCACAGGCCAACTGTCTAGTCCTATTAGATTTTGTTGACAAGAAAACTCGTAAGATGTTAAATCTTACATAGATGGTCACTATGGTTTGTGGTCCTTATTGACCACTAGGTCATCCCCGTGATAGTTAGGTTTTTTATATATTTAGTGTAGATTGATAAACTGATTAAAGACCAAATGTGTTTATAAATTACAAAGACTAAATCGTTATATGATAAAAATCAACACTTAATTTTGATGAAATTTCTTTACGATAGAGACTGGATTATTACAATTTTGAAACTATAAGAACTAAATTGTTACAAACTAAAGTCTAGGAGCTAAATTATTACCAATTTGAAAGTATAAGGACTAAATTGTTACAAATTAAAGTTCAGGAACTAAACTTTAGTTTAGCAAAAGTACCATAACTAAATGTGTTTTTTAACTTTTTTTTTAAGGTTAAATTACAAATTTAGCCTCGAAACTTTCGTTATGCCTAGAAGGAACTAAAGTTAAAAATATATGGACCAAAATGAACCAAAACTAAAAGTAGATGACCAAAATAGTATTTTAACCAGAAAAAAATATATATATCTCTAATTTTAAAAAGTGTCTAATACTTCTGATAGTATAAACATGCTACAATGAAGCAAGATTCTTGGCTGTGGCTTTAATTGAAGGACTGAAGGCCTTAGAGAACGAAAATCACACACCAATATTTGTTGAATCAAATACGCTCACAATCATGTGATTTTTGAATTTAATAGATCTACTAGACACAAAATTGAAGATTAATCCAAGTCTCGACAAAAACTACTTTCAACCGCATTGAAAGAAGACGGGACACGAAAGATCATCTTCCTTTCTAGCTTCAAGACTTAGACATAACCGAGATTAATTTACTGTTTTAGTTTATTTGTTCAAGAAAATAAAATTTTTGAACTTTTAATCTTGTATCCTATAGATATTTAAAATTTTATTTTTATGTCTAATGGGTTCTAATTTTTTAATTTTTAGTACAATAGTCGTTAACCTGTTCTACATTTTTTTTTAAAAATTTTATAGATCTATAAATTGAAATTTTAAAATTCTATTAAAAACAAGATTAGTTAACTTTCCAAAAAAAAAAAAAAGATTTGTTAATTTTTTTAAAAATGTAATAGATTCATTGAAAGTGTGTAGAGATATATGAGTTATATGAACACTTTTTAAAATTTAAAGACTTGTTAGACACGAATGTAAAAATTAAAAGACTAAACTCGTAAATTAATATTTTTTTTCAATATTTAAATCTTATTCCCATCTTCTACTTTTAGTTTTTATTCATTTTGGTTCATATATATATATATATATATAACTCATAATTTATATTTACAATATATGTAAAAGTCTGGACATGGAATAAACTTTTTTGAGACATATATATATATATATATATATATATATAACTCATAATTTATATTTACAATATATGTAAAAGTCTGGACATGGAATAAACTTTTTTGAGACGATATCAACCTTATTTTTTTTATATATTATATGATATCTAAACTATTTTTATGATCTATTTGGAACCTCAAGATTTTTAGTGATTTTAAATATTGACGGATTTCAAAATGTAAATCTTGACCGATTTCAAATGAGTTCCATTATTTGTTATCACATGAAATAGCATGAAGATTTAAAATCATGTTTTTGTCGGGAAAAACATCCTCATTAAAATGGTCAAATTTGGCAGGATTTCATATAATTTTAAAAAAAATTACTTTATTTAATCTTATCATATTTTAATTTTTTAATTAATAAATGTAGATTAAAAAGCTTAAGTCCAAACTTTTTATTTTCTTAAATTCTTGAAGGAAGGTGTAAAGTACCTAAACTACTAAACTATGTCCATATTGGTCGAAGTTTATTGTTCATTTTGGTCTATATACTTTCAAAACGTTTATTTTAATCTATATACTTTCAATTGTATTAATATTTTTTAGTCCCCATACTTTCAAAACGTTCGTTTTAATTTCCATATTTCTAAAAAATGACCATTTTAGTCCCTTTAACTTTCATTTTTATCTCATTTATTTTAACATGATACTTTGTCCTTGAAACGTTGCTATAAATTTATATTAAAAGATTTTTATTACGTACAAAATTTGTGTTAAAATTTTATAAATAAGGGCAAAAAAATGTCATTTTTCAAAGAACAGGAACCAAAACGAAGGACAACTAAAATGAACAAACGTTGAAATCACATGACCAAAATAGACATTTTAAAAATAGAATGACCAAAATGAATCGAAACGAAAAGTACAACAAAAAATAGGGACAAAAACAGTATTTAAACCCAACATTTTACCTTGAGAAGTAACAAAATTAATTGTTTATGAACCCAAAGTATACTTGTTCTCATTTCCAATACAAAGAAACTTAAACTTTGCATCTATTAACCATGTCTAGAAAAACTATGGTATCTCTTAAAATTAAAAGGGTTAGAAATAAGATTTCTAATTTCGCAAACGAACCTAAAACGAATCAGACAAGATATTAAGAGATACTATTTTAAACACAAGATTTGGAAGATCGTCTCAACCATTGTCTTTTTTTTTTTTTTTTACACTACCTAAGTTCGAAACCACAACCTATAACGAAGACACTACTATTGTTTAGTAGTTCATGAAATCATCATAAACTAAAAATCAATGTATCTAAGTCATTGTGACTCGCGACCCTCGATAAAAAAAACGTCTTATTATGGATACATTACCGGTGGGAGCAATAAAAATAAAGAAAGGGACAACAGTGCCTTATCTGACTAAAGCATACATCATTTGATGCAACAAAACCAGGAGGACACAAATAAGAAAACTAAGCCATAAGAACCCAATGCAAGATGGGAAACATCTGAAAAAAAATCATAATCTCAATAAGGGAACAGGTAAAACAAGGAGGCTCTCTAATGAAAATATCCAAGAACCTGACCTCCCACATTCCTTCTCATTGCCTCCTCATGGTCCAAGATGCCTTCTGGAGTAGTAATCACAACATAACCCCACTGCAGAAAGACGAGAGAGTAGAATATTTGGTTAATATAACCAAGAACTGCTCGGTCAAGTATCTATCCAATGAGAATACGTATATAAACAAGAACTACTCGATCAAGTATCTATCCAATCAGAATAAGTAATTTAGTAATCACAACATAGCCCCACTGCAGAGAGAGGAGAGAGAGCGAGAAATTTGGTTAATCTTTATTTTTTTTGGATAAGAAAACAATTCGGCAAGGGAAAAGACCAGCCTAAGGACAAAGAACAAAAGAACAGCCTAAGGATGGTAACAAGGATGCCCCTTCCCAAAAAAAGCTCGCAAAGCAAAACTCTCCAGTCTTGAAGGATCGTAGAGAGACTGTAGTTACAAAAGAATTTTGTATTCCTTACAAAATAAATTTGGTTAATCTAACAAGACTTGCCGGATTAAGTACCTATATAGTTCGAATAAGCAAACCTAGTTACTTAAGTTTGATGGTTATATCAATTTAAACTTATAATATGATGATATGACATGCATATTAAACCAATAGTGATTGATTTGTTATAATGTTGTAGGCAGATAACAGAAGAAAGTTGACACCTTGTAAAATAAAGTGACAAGTGCATTTCTTCCTTAATAATGTATCAGATTCTTTCTATAGACCATGCCACTTTTTGTCTAATTTTTTTGTCATTTGTTTGTAATGTTGTGCTAAATCAAATACCATCTATCCAATAGACATGTTATGCATTTTTTTCCTGATATTCGTGAATACCTAAGCTAGCTCAACTATTATCATTAGAAAACCCTACTATGTAATGTCATCATTTTATTAGTAATATTAACAGTAGAGTACTATTCGAAGTTTAAGAATGTAATTGAAACTTTTTAAAATCAAGGGACTAATCAACGCGACTATCAAATTTTAAGGGCTAAATTCGAAATAAAAACTGAGGAAATAGTGGGAAAGATTGAATCCCAATTCATCCACATTATGCAATTGTAAAAAATAAAACACCTGATGTGTTGGAAGTGTTCGTAATCGGTAAGCTTCAATATCCTTTGCCTTGATGTCCTGCCTATGGGTGATAGCTTTGCAATCCTTGATCCTACCTTGCAGCTCAACTGTTATCCTTCCCACTCTGTGTGGATCATAAACTTGATAGTCCTTGATATATCCTACATATAAAATTTGACAACACCATAAATGAGAAGTAGGATAATTAATTAAAAAATTATTAACGAAAAGAAAAAGTATAAATTAACAGTTATTTAGAAAATGTCAATTTATAAAACTGCCATAATCGACAGTGAAGAGATATTAGTTTACAATTCAATGACATCACAATACCAATTAAGCGAGGTTAAAAAGGAAAAGAAATTAGTAGTATGCCAACATTAATTAAATTTATCGCGGAAATGTTTCGTACTTTACTAGCAAAGTAAGGTGTTCATATTATATAAGTATTTCAATTTGTCCCCTCCCTGTTCCATTAAAATTACAATGGTCTCTAACGGTACACTCTACCCCCAAGGGGCAGCCCGATTGACAAAGGCTTGGGGTCTCTTGATCATACCAATGTTTTCGAGGCGCACAGCAAGACGACAAGCCCTTTAATCGCCTTGAGGCAAGAGGCGATACAAAGGCGACGCCCGATTGAAGCGATGCGCACCTTAATAAATAAGTAAAAATTATATATATAGTGCATAAATTACCTTAAAAAAATTAATACCAAAATAGTAAATGTCAACAAGATACATAAAATAACCAAATTCTATAAGTTTAGTTCCAAATAAAGACAAGCAACGGCGGAGATTGATGGTGGTGAAGGCTTGAAGCCCATGAAGGTGAATGTCGAGAGGGAGGGGAGGTAGAGATAGGGTTTGGGTCGCTCAGGGGAGGGTGTTTAAAAAAAACACATAAAAAATTAAAAAAAAATAAATAAATAAGGCAGATCGCCCCCTTGAAGGTGGCGATCGCCTTGCCTCAGGCGACAGGCGAGCGCCTCGCCTGGGCACCTTGCGAGGCGCACCTGGGCGAAAACACCTCGCCTCTCGCCTGAGACGAGCGCCCGGGTGTGCCTCAAAAACACTGGATCATACTGGCTTAGAGGTCTTAATTTTGAACCTTCCAGTGAACTTAATACCAAAAATCCTTGATTTCTCTCGGGTCCGAGCCTTAGGGCGGAAACGAGTACTCCTAACTATAGAGGAGCAAAGCTATAACTCCCGGTTATCAAAAAAAAAAAATGTACACTCTAGGATATGTAGATGCCAAACTTTTTGGTCTATGAATTACTTGCAGTCATGACTGATAAAATTCAATTTTGATATGAGATGATTAGTTGAATTGAAGAAAAAAGTTTCAATTTAAATGCATTGAACAAATTCCCACACTTTGCTTAAATCCTAGAAAAATTAGAATAAACATGCTGCACAGGGCCTGGAAGCAGGAAGGACTGAAGGAGTCATTGACCACATTCTGCAGAGTTAATATAATTAGACACTGGAAAATCTTCAATGTAGTTTTGAAGATATAGGCCAGCTTGTGTATCAAACAGCCAATTACAACTCAAACCTTCCAACTTATCCTGGCGGCAAACCTAGCACTAAAATCATACTTAGGTTGGCCTATTCTTCTATTTAATCAGAAACTGAAGAAGTTCAATAATCTAGGATGTAAGTTCCAAGGTCATTTCAAATCACTGAGTTGTGTAAATATAGACGTAGTCCTATACATAGGCGTAGTCCTATACACAGCAAAAAAGAGGTTTAAAACTCAAATTCCAAAGCACCGGAGAATCTACAATTAAGCCAATGTAAATATAGGCGTAGTCCTATACATAGTAAAAGAAAATCTTCTTAAAAACGACCCTTCCATTCTCTAAGAAAGTTTGGTTTTAAATTTTAAGAAAACAAATCATATCCCTCGTGAGCAGAAGTTGGTTGGAGCTTCATAAGAGCATGTTCTATTTGATCTTCATTGCAAAACATTTACCTCCTCTGTCAGAAACAAAAATTGGAACGACAAATGAGTATAAAAAGGTCTATTCCCACACTACCAAGTTTTCTTCCAACTTCTGGCCATTCTAGCAAAACCAGAAAGACAAGTTGACAAGGAAAACATCTTGAAATAATGTTTACTCATTATCCACAAAACTATCACATTCACCAGACTACAAGGTCGAAAACCAGGGGGGAAAAATAAATCAACCGCATAAAAAGAGTATACTAAAGCATAATGAAATGTTCGACACGAGGGAAATGCCAACATGCAACCGATCAATACTCAGGAATCCAGGAGCAAGAGAAATATAAGTTTTACCATGATCTTTCATGACTTTAAGGAAAGAAGACATGACAGTAGAAATGGGTTTGAGTTCCACCATAGATTTCCCCCTCCTCTCAGCATTAACAATAGATCTTAAAGCATCGTTCAATATCCTCCTTCCCATGTCTTACAGTACACGAAAAGCACAGAACCTGAGACGAAATCAAAATTTCCTCAATCATGGCGTTTTGTTACATTACCGAGAAAATTCCAGCGCAAGACTCGTGGCAAAAACCACTTCGAAGAGGAAATTGATTGAAATTTTACCTGCGGCCGCTTTGAAATCCGGCGAACCAGCCGGGAAAAAGCCGGATGACGGCGGAGCGATGGATGGTTAAGCCCTACCTCGAGAGAGACGACTCGAAAATTTACCGATCGGCGGGAGAGGGAGGGCCGGAATTGGAGCCCAGTTTCGGCGCTCTTACTCTGTGGATAATTTTTTGAAGGGTTAATTTTCAAAAACCATAAAATTTAGGTTAAATATATAATTTTGATTTTATTGTTTGTATCAATTTTTCAATTTCCCCCCAATCTTTACGGTTAAATATATCAAAATGGTCTGCGCTTGGTAATGTTGGGTTGGGAAAGCTAACTTCTTTGGCAGCATATTCGGTAATTTAAAGATTAGTTCATGTCTATTATAAATCTATATTAGGTCTCTACTCTTTTCAATGTAGGATTCATAACATGCGCTCTCAAGATCGTAGCTCTTTTGGTTTGTGACTCTTTTGATTCATTGACCAGATCTCATTTTTGGACCGGTTGCTTGGACCCTTATACCATGTTAAAAATGAATAAACCATCACCCAACTAAAAGCTTAAGTTGATGGGTTGGGTAAATTTAATTTAATTATATAGATTCTCCGCCTAAATATTTAGTTTAATCTAAAATAATATTAACTAATTTATTAACTTTTTGTTATGAATTTTGTATAATTATTATTTTACAACTGATATATAATTTATAACATATTATATTATTCATGTTTTAATTTTAATAAAAATAAAATGAATTTATAACTTTGAAATAATATATTTATTAAATTTTTTATATTTTAATATAATTTTATCCCTCAAAATTTTAAATTCAAAATCTAAAAATACTAAAAAGATAAAGAATGTTGTATTACAAAACTTCTACTATTGGGATCATATAATCCCATTTTTAAAAACAAATTTGTCAAACCAATTTCATTAAATCCATTTGATTAAGTGAATGTAACAACCACAACAAAAAAAAATTGCCAACCAAATATAACCTAATCATTCCATAGAAAAATATGATAAATTTTGTTGATAAAAAGTTGACATGGTATTGAATTATTGGTTTAAATACTATTTTTGTCATATTACTTTCAATTTTTGTTCATTTTGACTTCTATCATTTTAACTTTTATCTATATTGCTTCCTATACTTTCAAAACTTTTATTTTGGTCTCTAGGGATCGTTTTGACCCTTTCATTTTTTTATCTCATTTTTTAAATCATAATCTGTGTTAAAGAATTTTGGTCTCTATACTCAATAAATTTTTTGAAATATAGTCATAGCTTTATATTAAAGAATTTCGTTTTGTATAGAATTTGTGTTAAAAAAATTAATAGGAACCAAAACAGTCGTTTTAAAAAAATACAAAGACAAAAAAATATATATAAATTTTGAAAGTATTGCTCTAAAATGAACAAAAGTTGAAAGTATATTAAAAATCAAAATGAACCATTTAAAAGTATAAAAACCAAAATGAACTAAAGTTGAAAGTATAAGAATCAAAATAGTATCTAAACCTAGATTATTAGTTTGTTTACATATTTGAACACATTTCAATCACATACTTACTTGGAATAAATGAATTTTATTAATAGTTACGTTAGATTTTGTTGTCAAGCAAGTTTGGTTTCGTGCGTCAATTAATACTCACTTGACATGTTCACTTATCTAAATATGTTGATAAAGCACGTCTTACTCATCAAAGAGAACAAGATGGTCAGTTCTTTGGAGTAGTAGATACGTACCTCGTGTGTGGCTTATCGAACCAGAGTCTTTCACTTGTTGCCCAACTGGCCCACACTTGAGCCTCCATAGATCGTATTGATGACAAGGAGCGCTCATTGTTGCGCTGAGGTGACCTTGAACACTCTTGCTTGTCATCTTTATTGGATTTTGCTGGCTTGGATCAATCTCTGCTGCCGACATATTTCTTGAGGTAGCCACACAAAATTAGATCTTATATTGCTCTTTCAAATCAAAGCAGTTCGAGGTATCATGTCCATAATCCTTGTGGAACTGGCAATACTTATTCTTATCTCTCTTGCTTGATGGACGAAAAATTTTGCTCGGCGAAGAAAGCATACCTTTAAAACCATTATCCTTGATTGCAGCCAATATCTCTGTGATTGGGACGATGGTCGGAGTATATTTATCGAATTTTGGACCACGCCAATCTAACGAGTCGGATCTCTTGTTGCTTCGTTGGTCTTATGATTAGTCGTTGTATAACCAGCAATGGGAGCTTTGATCATCACCATGTCGCTTCCTCCGCATAGTTGACTTACTGTCTTTGTCCTTGTTTTCAACTGTTATGCTTCACTCTGTTGGCTTTCCACAACTCGAGTCCATCAATATAATGCCTTGCTCGAACTAGCATTTCGTTTCAACGACGAGGGGGGCTTGCTTTCAAGGTCTATCGTTAGATCCTTGTCATTTAAGCTAACGTATGTCATGACCATGTCGTTCAAGCAGTTGACTACTTTGACGTGTTCATCCATGAACCGAGCAATATAGTCTGTAAAGGACTCTTTGTCTTGTTGCTTCATGGTGTAGAGGTGGGAAGGAGACAGCTTCATCAGTTGTAGAGCTGGGAACTGATTTATGAACATTCTCCACAACTATTGATAGTTGTCAATTGACTTAGGTTTCAGCTTACACCATAATCGTGTCGAGCCTTCTAAGACAATCTGGAAAGCTTGACATTTGATGACATTGCTGGCACAAGGAAATCCATCTTGTCTTTGAAAACTTCAACATATGAGATGGGATCACCTGAGCTATCATAAGGGTTCATCATTAGTGCTTTAAACTTCGAAGGGATTGGAGTATCGAGGATCGCCAGAGAAAAGGGAGGTTCTTCTCGCTCTATATAGTCAAGTTGATCAACAGACTTATACTTCTTCTTTAGATCCTCGATTTCTTTCTCCAACTTATCGCTCAACTTATCCACCTCGGATCGTATTTCATGGCCGCCCTTGGCCGGCTACTTGCTTACCTTTAGGATTGCCCTTACCATTTTGACTGAAAAAAATAACACAAGAATGAAAAATGTGTCAGGTGCTTTCCTAACTTCTACTGGAAACTGAGTTCTACTCCTATTACAAAGTGTTTTTGGCTGTATCAGAGCCTAAAGCAACCACCAGTCATATGTATATACGTGATTAAAACCTAGAAATTACTACCAACTCTCAAATTCTTTTATAGGTCAGAGGACCTATGTCCAGGATCATATTTTATGTGCTTATGTCAACATACATTTCATATTAACTCCATATTAAACACTTAGTCTAACCCTTTCAGTATTATGCTTCGGTTTAATAAAACTCCTTAGCGGCCAATTTAAGAAATCACTTGAGAAAACATGTTGAGGAGTTAACCAGAAGAGTCCGGCACTACCTAGAGCTTTTCTCTCGTGTTAAATTTTTAATGAAATTTCCTAAAGCATTTCACAAGAAGTTGAAAACTAATTTAGTGTATAGTTAAAGTGCAGAAAATACTCATAGAAATAAAAGAAATTATTGCCATTGATTGAAATTGAAATTGAACAAAAGTACAATGAGTCCTAGCTTAACCTTCTTCTCTTTCGAGCTTGAAGGAAGATAAAACTCGTTGGAAAACTTTTATAAATGAAATACAAGACTTGAAACTTTAAAAAGAATTAAAGCAAAACTTGTGATGAGTGTACACTTGCACTCTTTTCATTTATTCAAACTCAAAATCCCAAATAGCAGCGTCTTGTCGGAGAACATCCTCGTTACCTTTGCACTTGTAGGTGCTCTTCAAAGTCGGTTGTACTTGACGTAGGTCAGCCAAACGGTAATATGTTGCTCAGCTTGGCTTCGACTGCCAAGTTGCCTGGACTTAAGCCAATCCAAAAGGCTCATTTGGCTATTTCTGATCATCATAGAGAAGATGGTCTCTAGTGTTGACACGTGGCAGGTAGTAATTTGCCTCCAAAACAACTCAACCCAACAAAGTTTATAATCTAACTCAAACCATATAGGTTAGGACGAGTTTATCAAAATTTTCAAATTGTTTTAACACCACTAGAGCTGTGTTCAAATTGGCATAGGTCAATCTATTAACAAACCGAACAAGGAGATGCATGGAAAGATGAAATGTAACAACATCCCTTAATTCAAACGTCATACTTGGTAGGGAAATAAATGAGAAGTTAAATTTGGAAAAAGAAAAGAAAATGTGGAAATTAAATTAATGAGAATGAAATAATTGAAAAAGTAACAAGGGTTTGTTTGGAATGGCAGCCATTGGTTGGGACAGAAACAGCCGACCTGAAAATTCAAAATGGCTGAGTTGGAGATCTCATCAAATCACCCGACCGTCACCCACCCCCTCTCACAGCCTCACACCTATAAATAAATAAATAAATAATTTTTATTTAGAGGGATTTAAATGGTGGGATTTCTCCTTTTAAATATTGCTAAAATTAAAATTATTTTTTTTAAATATTCTAAAACTCAAACCATTATTTTACAATAATATTTTTGAAACTTGTCCAGCTAAGCTTAACGAGCTTTATGTCGGTCGACCACTGTCAAAGAAAGCTTGAAGAATTCTCCTTCATTTATTGGGTACGTACGTGAATATAAGGTCTCTTTATAGTAACTCACCCTATTTCAACAGCAATGATAAATATAATTACACATTTTAAAATTTTAAATTTAAAATGTGAAAACAAATAAAAAAAATGTTGTTTTTGATCCCATAATCTAAAAAAACAAATTTATTGAAGGGATATTCAATTTCAATGAATCTATAATAATAAACCTAATTCGAATTGCATAATAAAACTAGACAAAAGGTAATCGTACCAACAAAACTCATTAGAGCAATTTAGGACCGGTTTGTAACGTTCTCGTTCCCAAAAAATTTAAGTATTTAACAACTATTTATATTTATTTCTCATTTTTTCTAGAAATATTATCAAAATTGTATAGAAATTTTGGAAACAACTTTCTTGTTTCTGTTTTCAATTTGCTCCAAAATTTAGCTTCGTTTGATCCTAATTTGTTTTTTTTTTCTTGATTTTATGTTTTTATAGACAAGTTTTAAAATTCAAGAAGTTTTAATAATTTTTTTTCCTTGGTATTTGTCCAATACTTTAGAAGTATTCTTAAAATTATTAAACAAATAATTTAAGTTAAAAAATAGTTTTAGCCTACGTAGCTTAAAAATATATATTTTAATCTCTCAAATAACAACGAGAAGTCATAAATTTGTGTGAATTCGAATTTCCACTCCATTTATTGTACTAAAAGGTAAAAGAGTGCAAACTTTAAGTAAGAAATTAATAAAAAGCTACCTTGCAGGTATTTTATTATCAATCAACATTCATTTACAATTTTTATGAACAAACGTGACATTATAGACATATCATACCCCACTCATATATAAGATAAGAAAATAAAAAATAAGAAAATAAAAAGCTAAAGCATATTCAAGAGTAAACAAAATGTGTTTTTTTTGGAGTACACAGGGCGAGAATTAAAATTCAAGATCTTTTGATAAGAAATAAGTGTCTACGAGCTATGTTCAGGTTGACGATAAGATTACAAGTTATATTATTTTTTAACTACAAATTTTAGTTGTAAGAATTATTAAATCTAGAATGTGTTAAAACTTGAATAAATAAAGTATAACTTTTTAAATTTTACGGACACATTTAAAAACGTGGTAAATTTTAACAATCAATACTATATTTTAACAAACAAATTAAAGAAAGGAGAGATCGTTTAGTATGCAATTTAGAATTTTTTTTTTCACATTCATTTGATTAGGGTCGACATATTTGTTTTTTATAACTATTTTGTATTCCAATTAAAATAGTTGAAATTATAAAAATAACATTTTTAATTTTTAACTTTCAATTTCAAACCCAAAGAATATTAAAAAAGATAAAATTTTGATAAATCATTTAATTTTTGTTAAACTTAAAATATGATATATTAAAAATTAACTATACAAAATTTATAATAAATTAATTAATAGTATTTTAGATTCAACTAAATATTTAAAATGAGTACGGAAACAAAACTAAATATTTAAAATGCAAAACAATATATTCTGAATTATATAATATTATAATAACAATTATTCAAAATATATATATGTTAATAAATTAATCAATTAGATTGTACTAGAAAACTAACACGAGTTTAGAAATATATTAATAAATAACAGTTTTTTAAATTAAAATCCAAATTTCAAATCTACCTCCTAATACATATTTTAAAACATTGAAAACATAGAATATAATTCTGTTTCTTTTTCTCCAGCAAACAAATGAACCATAAAATTTCTGATCAAATTCCACCATTCATTCGTATCTTTACAAAGAAAAAAAAAACAATATGAATGTAGAAGAAAAAGACAAGTATATATTGAATTAATGTAAAGTAGCTAATGTTATATCCACTTGGAAAAAGAACAAAATAATATGACCTTTTTGAAAAAACAGGTAATTGTACAAAATTACTAAATAATTACAAAAAGATATTTCTGTACTTAAAAATATTAATGAGGTTAAATTACCAATTTAATAATAATTTGAGTTTAATTTCAATTTGGTTTCTATACTTTTTTTGTAATTTAGGTTTAGTTTTAATTTGATTTAAAATTTTTGGTTCTTATAATTTAATTAAATTTCACACACACTTGAAAAACATTCATTTTCTTTTATTTTTTCTTTCCTCAGCCTAATCTTTATATAGTCATAGGTAATAGAAAAATCAACTCATTTTCTATTTACCATAGAGAAAATTTGTAAAGTTGGAATAAACTATAGAGACTAAATTGAAATTAAACGAAGTCATAAGAACAAATTGAAGCTTTTAAATCCATATGATTTATCGTTGTTTGGTTGGCCATCTAGATTCTGTTTATTGTTTGGAGATTCACAAAATAAAATAGATTATGTTTGGCAGCTTTGGTCCATTGGCATATTTATTTATTTATTTTCTTTTCGAATTCTATATCAAAAGTGAAAAATTCTAAAAAAAAAAACAATACTTATATGTTTTGGGTATTTTAAAATTTTGAATTTAAAACTATAAAAACATCAAATTACATTAAAATTGATAAATATATTATTTAAGATTATAAACTCATTAATTTTTTTAAAATAAAAACATGTAAAATATAAATATAATACTGCAATTATACAAATTTATAATAAAATATTATTAAATTAATTAATATTATTTTATATTAAACTAAATATTTATTTACTTGCTAAATATAGTCGAACAATTTTTTAAATTGAGATTTAATTTTCAAATCTATTACCAAACACATGTATCAAAACAAAAGAGAATACAATTATGTTTTTCGTTGAATTTCTCATTCTCAAATCATCAACAAAAAGTTTACCAACGTTAACACGTCTCAATTGATTAAAGCACGTACCTTTAACTAAAATGTGGTTTTACCAAAAGGTGGTGAGTTGGAATTCCCACCCACCTATACACCAAATTGATCATTTAACCCATTAATTAAATTTAAGTCGAAAATTAATTTTTTCAATAATGAAATGAAAAATATTAGATCTCGAAAAAGAGCCGGCCACGGATTGGTCTGTCACCGTCGCTGCGTCACCGTTTTCGTAAAGAGAACGACGGTAGCCGCGTTGTGTAAATTCAAGGAACTAAAAATTTGGTAAAAAAAAAAAAAAAGTTAGAGAGAGAGAGAGAGAGAGAGATTTAACAATAATGAATAAACGTTTCGCGCGATCTCTCCCTCTGTGAAATTGCATATTCCTCGCATATGTTTGGGAATTCAAATTCCTCAAAAGATTATCGGAAGAGAGAGCGAATTTTCCGGAGGGGTTAAAAGGGGAGACGATTCTGAATCTCTATCCATCTGGGTTTCAGAGAAAGAGTGTTTTTGTGCGGATTTTGAGTTCGTTTGCAGTCGCTGCGGCATTGGATCTGGGCAACAAGTTTTGCCGTCGCCGAATTTCTCGTCGAGCTAATGCTTTATTGAATGCTCGGCTCGGGAGGCATCTAGATCAGGTGGGTTTTGTGATGTGGGTGGATTCAGACACTTTTTTTTATGCTTGAATTACTGCGCTGAGTGGAGCTGAATTTGGGTTTTCACTCTGAGCTATTGAGATCCAGCTACTCGAATCTATTCTGGGTATTATGATCTTGTTGCATTGGTTTGATGAGGATCTCTGTCGGTCTTTCGAAATTCCCCTTTGTCGTTTTTGAAACCGTTTAATGATGGGGTCTTTCGACAAGATCTGTCTGAATTTTGTTTCGTGTTTGATGGATCTACTGCTTGGGGCTTTTTTTTGTTTTTGTTGTTTTAACTGATTGGGCAGGATTATGGGTTTTAACATCCACTTTGAAGGTGGTGATTGGAATTTATGCTGTTTATGTTGTTCTTATCTCAATATGCATTGCAATGTATGTATTTGATTCTAAAATAAGAGATCTGACTTTCTCTTTCATAAATGGTTTGTAGGCATTCTAAATTTCTTGTTAGTTGTTATTAATTTTTGATTAGTTGGTGATATTTGATTAGGTCTCTTCCATTTTATTACGCTTCGTTGGCCGTGCTCTTTTGATTAAGAGTCAATCTGAGCAAGCAGTAGTGCGGCAGGCTGATGAAGAACGGGATGATGGAATGCAGTGTGTGTCACTCCAAGTTAGTTTCCCCCACTACAAAAAGTATATCAAGGGCATATGATCGGCATAAGATCAGAGTATCATCTAAGCAAAGAGCCCTAAACACCCTCTTGGTTGTAGGTGATTGTATCTTGGTTGGTTTGCAGGTAATTGTCATCTCTGAACCTCCCACTAGACATAGTTTTCGATGTGGTTTGCGTTTTTCTTAATTGAGTTCTCAGTAAAATGTATTCATGCAAAATATTGTGCTGCCATGATTATTCTGCTATCTTTCTTTCTTTTTCTTCTTCTTTTTCTTTTTTGAAATGGTTCGAGCAATAAAATGTTGTTGTGCCATCCATTATGTAATGGACTGAATGTAACTCCGCTGCTGTGCTTACTCTTGAATATCATCCCTCCCTATTGCCAATATATCCAACACTGCAAAGCATATTAATTACTATTATTCCTTAAGCTCAATTTAACCATCAAGAGACCTCAACAGCCTTTGTTCTCTGTCTCCTTGTACGAGCTTGACCTTCTGTTGGTCTGATTGATGTTATTACTACTGTCCACTATTGATCTATTTCATCTTTTATCGTTGCTACTCTCATCAACTTGCTCAAATGATATGTCTATTTTGTTATTAACACGTTCAACCTAATAAATTGTTAGCAAATATCCACTATGGTATATAACTGCTATAGAATAACTGACCATTGCCTCTATACTTTTATGGTACATGGTACTTATCTCACTGTGAGTAAGCATACCTTAGGAAAAAAAAGTAGAGTAATATATTTTATTTCTAGTTTTCAAGCCTGGGATATTTTTTACTCCATGGAAAATTGCACAATTTTAATTTTAATTTTGATATATATATATTTTAAAATTTGAGATAGAAAGAAAATTGCATAATTTTGAAAAACAGTTCACTGTTATTGCACATAAAAACAGACAAGAAGGTGTTTTTTTCCACACATGAACCTTCCTTTTCTTGTTTGACGCTATCTGGATATTGGTTGATATTTGTCTAAAAGGGTCAAGTTGTCAAGTGATGTAACCTGGTTTTAAATGTCTAACATTGGTTCTTTTCCTTTGCCAGCCTATTTTGGTTTATATGTCCAAGGTGGATGGGAAATTCATGTTCAGCCCAATTAGTGTTAACTTTTTGACTGAGATTGCAAAGGTTCTCTTTGCTATTGTTATGCTGATACTCCAGGTACTTATTATCTTGTCAGATCAGGAAACTGATAATTTTCCTTTGAATATATAGAACTGAACACTTAAGCATATTCAAGTTTGTAATACTTAATTTGAATGGATATCTCAAACCAGATCAAGTTAGTTTACACGCTCATTAATTTGGTTAGCTTGTGACACAAATGAACAATTTAATTCTTCTAATATGGTGGATGATGAGAAACTTTGTGACACAAACGAACAATTTAACTTTGTAACACAAATGGGAAATTCAACACCTTGGAAAGTATTAAAAGACGTTCTTCTTTTTATTTGGGGCTGCATTGGTGTGTGCTTTGCAAAAGGGCCTCAGAATATCCATACCACATTTTGTGGCTGTCAGTTCGTCCAGGATATATGGGGTTATTTTTTGAGCTCTTTTGGGGGGCTTTGGGTTCGTAATTGGGATTTTCGAGCTCGATAGAAGAGGTGCTGTTGTTCCCTCATTTTTTTCGATAAAGGAAGATTTTTGTGGCAGACTTGCTTCTTTGCTATTATGTGGGTGGTTTAGATGGAGAAAAATGGAATCTTTTAGGGGAGTGGAGAGATCCAAGGAATATATCGGGGAGAGTGTTAGGTCTTGTACTTCCTTGTGGGGTTGACTCTAGAGTTATTTTATAATTAGGTGTCATCCTTATGGATTGGAGCCCCTTTCTTTAGGTGAGCCTCATATGTTGGGCTAGTTTTTTTTTTATGTCCTTGTCCAGTTGTTTTTTTCATTCTTCTCAATGAAAAGTCCAGTTTCTCATTAAAAATATTTATGGTGGATGATGAACAGCTCCTTTTGGCTTGGGCTTTCCTTTTTTTGTATTTTCCTCTTGTATTCTTTCATTTGTTCTCAATGAAAGTTGTCTTTTTCATTATACATGTACATATAGATATAGTGGGTGATGAGAACCATAGAAGTAACTTGTGAACTTTTGTGCTTGTGTGGGAGTTTGTGTCTGAGGAAGTGGGTAAGGGGGAGAATTTATATTTGTAATTCTTTTGTAATAGGTGATCGATGCCACATATTCTCCAAAGTAGGTTCTTGAATCATGTAAAGTTAAAAAATTGAATTCATTTTAAAATCACTTGTGTTCTTCTGGAAAATGATTACTTTAATTTAATAAACAGATCTAGTTCCATCAAGTTTTGGAACTGCTCTTATGATTCTATGAAGAAATTTCTGATATGCACACAGCTTTTTCTTAATTTAGCATGAAAGTGAGAACAGTTAATTGATCTGATTTTTAATGATAAAGCACCACTATTTGTTTTTTTTAATAATTATACTTTTCATATGAGTTAATTTCAGTGTAACTTTGGAACTTGTGGATGCGTAGAGCTCTTTATCTAGATTCATGTTAAAAGAATTCAATTGAATTACTTGATTGATTGCTTCCAAACGACCCCGTGGCCTATTGGTCTGGCTTAATATTAATTCTTACTATGAACTGTGCAGGCTAGACATCAGAAAGTTGGGGAAAAGCCTCTTCTCTCAATATCAACATTTATGCAGGTTACTGTCCTCACATGAATATTATCTAATTATTTACCAATTACTTTTGAATGTAATCTCCATGCCTGACTTTTACAAAGAAACATTTTAGACTTACGTGACACAAGATAGATTTTGTCATTATTAAGTGGGTGTGGAGCTTGAAGGAATCATTCTACCCAAAATCAGATAGCATTCTGATGCTGAACTATACTTCGCCAGTTAGGTTTACTACCATGCAATGCATCTTTTATGATAATTTCTTTTTTTTTTCTTTTGCAGGCAGCACGCAACAATGTGCTTCTTGCTGTGCCAGCACTTCTGTATGCAATCAATAATTACCTAAAGTTTATCATGCAGGTATACTGTTCATATTTGTTATATATATATTTTCAACTGGAGACATCTTGGAAATATTTTTCATTGTCAGATTATGTTGTTCATCTGTGAATAATTGAAGATATATAAAACTAACCACGTTACTCTCTGTACAGCTATATTTCAACCCTGCAACTGTGAAGATGCTGAGCAATTTAAAGGTATTTTGTGAATCAGTAATTATTGTATGTGTTGTGGTAGAATAGTGCTATGACATGTCTTGCTTAGCTCATAAGATAGGCGACTCTCTCCTGATGTGCTAATTTCAGAAATTTTAGGTATATATACGTGTATGTATATATTGTATGTATGTATAACAATGCATGAAAAATGAATTCTTGTGGAATTAGTGTTTTGTCAATGCTTTGACTATTACATCTGCTTGATAGGGTGGACTCCTTTTGTGGGTGGTTTTTGTTTTCCCTTGTATTTTCTTTCATAGTTCTCAATGAAAGCTTCGTCTTTTAGTTTTATTCAAAAAAGAAAAAAGGAACATCTGCTTGCATCATTGTTGGTTTGTGTTTGCTGGTAATCTTCTATAACATATATCAGGGGAATTTAGATATATCACCCTTACATTTCATATTCTACTCTGCTTTTATAAAGGTACAATTTGATATATTATGGTAAAAATTGTAACTGTGTTGTAAGCACTCCCTGTGCTAGCAGTAGGCTAGTACTCTTGAAGGGCCAAGTTGTTCATGCACTCTTCTGAATTTGGTCTAGGTTTAGATACAAAAACTGTTTGCTGGAGTTTATACAACAGTGAGACTGAGACTGAGAGCGCTAAGGAAAAAACTCGTTAGCAGAAGATAGGAAAATGATAGTCTCTTAGCATATAGTGTGATGAGCTGATGACTGATGAGGATTCTCTAATTGTGCTTGTCTTTAACCTTAAAACATATACATCTCATATGATTTTCCAAGAATAATATTTTGATTGATTCGGTATGTGCAGGTTTTGGTGATTGCTGTCTTGCTAAAGATGATTATGAGACGTAGATTTTCAATAATTCAGGTTAGTTTATTTCTTCTGCCATCTTTGCCTACTTAAGGGTGTAATGTAACTGTGAGCTATTACATCAGAGGGTGAGAAAAGGTATCAGAAGTGTATGAATTACTTCTGATATGACACAATAATTCGTGCATGTATTTATACATATAATTTTATGAAAGTATTTAGCTTTTGCTATTTATTCCCTCATCTTTGTTTTATTTTTCTACGCATGGTTTTATTATTATTATCATTTAAAGAAATGATAAACCAATAATTAAAAGATAAAAACAAAAACCTTTTGGGAAAATTCTCATATTTTGCTTTCCTTCAAAATTTTCTATAAATCCACAATGATGGCTATTTTGGGAAGCACCTTTTCTTCTCTCGTAAGTTGACACCTTTCTCTTGGGAATTACACTTCCACTAAAAGGGGGCCAAAAAAAAACTTACAAAAGAAAGGTGACAAAGACCTCAACCCAACCAAAACCAATTGGGTAACAAAAACTTCCTCCCACTAGTGTTAATAATAACAAGAATATAATTAGAAAATAATTTATTGAGAATCGTAATCTGTATGCATCCTCGCAACCAGGAAACACTGAAACTGATATTTATTTGTCATTTGCCCCAGTGGGAAGCGCTTGCTTTGTTGCTAATTGGGATAAGTGTAAATCAGTTGCGGTATTTACCTGAAGGTACCACCCCTTTGGGTCCTTCAGTTACCATGGGCGCATATATCTACACGCTGATTTTTGTAAGTGGATCTTGTTTATTGGCTAGAATGGTGGTACAGTGTTACAATTAGTCAAATCCAAACTAGTTTTTCTCCCTTTGGTTTCTAAATATTTCGAGTGAGGTGTAACTTGAATCTTTTTTACAGGTAACTGTTCCATCTTTAGCTTCTGTTTATAACGAATATGCTCTGAAGAGCCAATATGATACTAGCATTTATCTCCAGGTGATGTGATTGTTGTGTTAAATTCAATCTAGAGAATAAGATGACAGTTTAAATAAATGCGTTTTTTTGTTTATGAAGATTTAAGAATGGATGCCCATCATATTTGTAGTCAGGAATATCTTTTGTTAATAATCATTTGTGTATGTTTAGAATTTGGGATAATGGATGTTGGGATATTGTGAAACTATTCATTTATCTCACAGCTTCTCTTTTTTGACATTCAAGTAATAGCATTATAAAAATATCTGAATTGTTCGCTTAATGTTCATTATATCTATTTTCACGTGGATTCAATAATTGGACCTGTATTCTGAATGGTGGATTTTCTGTTGAATTGCAGAACTTGTTTTTGTATGGCTATGGTGCAATATTCAACTTCTTGGGAATATTAGGAACAGTTATTATAAAAGGTAAGATATAAATCTCTAATATATACTATCCCCCCAAAATAAATAGATAGAAGACTTTGTATGATTTCTCCAGAAGATGTATCTCTATCTTTTATCTTTTTGATATTGGGATGTGTAAACTATTGATCATGGCTTAGTAGATGTAAGTTCGCCTTGAGTCTTTGTTTTAACGTTCTCATTTTTTGATCTGTGTTTTATCAACAAGTATTTCAATTTAAATATTGATTATACATCATATGTGGCAATTTCTTTTGTTAGACACATTTTACAGTTGCTGGATTTTCTCAAGTTGATATATCTTTTGTGTAGTGTATAACCTTACTTGAATAGGATTTTTTCTGTAGGTTGTACAACTGTCTCCTTGAGTTTTAAAGATCTTTTGTATGAGGTAGAATGACATGGCTTTTAAGGATTGACAACAGATTTTCATAAATTATATTAAAAAATATTTATTTTTTGATGCTTCCATGTTTATGATTTTTTTTTGTAAGCTCTACAATTTTGTTAGAACTAGACCTAGTGCGTTGGCCCTTTTGTATTCTTTACTCTTAGTTCTCTAACTGGTCACTGAATTCTCCCCAGACTAAATATTTTTAAATGAATTAATTGTTTGGCCTGAACCTGATTGGAATTCATTCTTTTATCAAATGCCTGCCAGGCTGCCAGCTTTACCTAATTTCCGGCCTTTCCAAAATGTCTTTGATTTTGTTTCCTGCACTGTGAATGTAACTCCAGTCAGCGACCAGTCAGCGACATTGTAGATCTCTGATTAGCTACTTTTTGGCTGTTTTAGGTCCTAGCAGCTTTGATATCCTACAAGGTCATTCAAAAGCCACAATGCTGTTAATAGCTAATAATGCAGCTCAAGGAATTCTATCCTCTTTCTTCTTCAAATATGCAGGTAAACTAAGCTTTTATTGGTTTCTCAATTGTTTTTTAGATTTCTTCTGTAGAAAACTGCTTTAATATCACAAGTTGCTGAACACTTTTTGTCCATGGATAATATCATACGTCTGATTAGAGTTTTGCATCTGATTAGAGTTTTGCTTTGTTGTTTGCAGATACAATTCTGAAGAAGTACTCCTCAACAGTTGCTACTATCTTTACAGGCATAGCCTCTGCTGCATTGTTCGGTCATACTTTGACTATGAACTTTGTGTTGGGAATATCCATAGTGTTCATCTCTATGCACCAGGTAACTTTAACGAGGGGATGGCATTGACAGGCTAAATATATTATCAAAACATGATTGCCAACCCACTATTCTTGATACTGTGTTTCAGTTCTTCTCACCCCTCTCAAAAGTCAAAGATGAGCAGAACGGGATCACAGAAATGGTCGATGTGGATAACCAGCGGTAGGAACTTATTCATGGTGTGAGACATTGATTTGCTGTGGTTGGTTTTCATGGGGTTCATTTATGTTATAATAGGCTAATTGGTTGCATTTTCAATTGTTGATTTGAAACTTCAGCCTTATGGTTGACCCCAATTCCTTTTCTTTGAAAACTGCCGAACACATATGATCGCTTAGAAGGATTGAGACTGACTTTTTTACCGGTGGAAAAACTGATGGATAATTTTTCCTTTCTGGATATTTAATTTTTCTGGTTTTGCCTCTTCAGGTCAAAGGGTTCCTTCATAAATATAGCAGCAGGAGCAAGTGAAGAGGTATGGATTTGGCTTGTCTTCAGAGTTTCTTTTTCAGGATATGCCAAGAAAAATCCTTAAAGCAATTACCAAATCGTGAATGTTTGCTTTTTGTTTGATTGCAGGCTAGTCATCATGTTGCTGATGAGAGAAAGCCACTTCTTCCAACCTAAAAATTTTTCTGGACATGGTACTTTGATGCTTTATGTTTCTCATTCTTTCTATAGAAACTGTTTTTGATGGTCAAACTCCTCAAAGTTACCACAAAAGAGATCCAATTTTACCAGATATTTAATTTTGCTCCTTACATGCTTCGCCACAAAAGCCAACTAAATTTATCGACTTTGGTGTTCATGATCAATCTCTATTTTGGTCCTGATTAGTACAACCTAAAGAACATATCCTGAGTGACGTCGTTCTATTTCAATATCGAGAACCCATTTAGTAATGCCTGCCTTGACCGATATCTAAGCAGGAACAATCTCAATTTCTCAATTCAAGGATACAAATATTAAGAGTTTCAATATGCTACTTAATTTGGGTGTACATGAAATGATGTTATTTCATTGGAGCTTCAAGATTCTTCCATTTCAAATGGCAAGAACATAAAACGAAATTTACACGTACTTTCTGTTATTGACATACCTGTTGCAGGATTTTGTAGGAAATTCAAGATTCTTTCATTTCAAATTCCAATAACATAAAACGAAATTTATGCGTACTTTTTCGTTATTTGGTATCACGATGTCTGTTTATCTCCTCAGTTCGGCTTTGACATACCTCTTGCAGGATTTGGTAGGAACTTTTGCCTGAATCATTGGACCATAGGTAGATGGGCAGCGGGTCTCGAACATTATCAATAAATTCTTTTTGATGAGATGTCCTCCAAGGTTGCAATAGAGCATTCCTCAGGTTGGTTTGGAATATGGAATTTTTGTTGCTGCAGATTAGATGATTTTAGATAATAACAAAATGGGTATTGTCATACCAAGGTCTATACACAGCCCTTACCTACATTTCAAGTTGTGGTTCTAGTAAAATGTATTATTATTCTTTACTCCAGATTGGTTATAACTAATAATTCTTGTCTATTTCCTTCAAAATATCTCATATTTTTATGTATCCTTCTCCCATTGAAAATGTAGTGCTACAATTGTCATGTCTGATGGAAAAAATTTTCTTATACAGAATGGAAATGTTATTTACTTGAAAATGTAGTGTTACCCTTCATTCTTTCAAAAGCTGCTTTTATTCCTTGTTGGTGGACAAACTTTTGAACTTATGTCTTAGAATGTTGACTTTGATGAACTTGAGATCATTATTTTATCTTGTCAATAACAGGGATTTGGTTCTCTTTTTGATCTTTTTAAGCCCCGAGTTAAATGCAGGTTTAGTCTTTAAACTTACACGGTTGAACTTTTAAAAGTGTTTAATAAGTCCTTAAACTAATAATTTTATTTATGTTTCTAATAGATCACTTGTTGTGTCTAATAAGTTTGTTACATATTAATTTTTTTTTAATTTATAAACTTATTAGATACATAATTGAAATGTTAGAGTTCTAATAGATACAAAATTGAATTTTGTATCTTACAAGTTTGTGATTTTAAAAAATGTAAAAGGCTTAGGGAACTGTTAGACACAAAATTGAAAGTTCAACGATCTATTAACTATGAAATTAAAAGTTTATAGGCTCTTAAACATTTCAAGATCGGTTAGACGCAAAATTGAAAATTCGGGGGCTTGTTAGACACTTTTTATGAATTGGAAGTTGGATCGGTGTCTAATTGTGCGCTAGCCTAGATCCCACAAAGGGTATTGGTTGATTTATTGGTTGATTTAGACAGTAGGATGATGGTCTCACATGTCGAATCAACTATCTCGATGCTTGACGATGCCTTATCTGACTGCTTTACAATGCTTTGTTGGAGCGTCTGCTTCCTTTTGCAGATCTTTCCACGTCAAGCTCACTCCACAAGCTTGACTGTACCCAATCTATACCTGTTCACGAGTCAAATTGGAAACTACCATAAACAATACTAAAGTTTAAGGATCTATTAGACAATCTTAGAGACTGAACTTGTAATTTAACTTAAAAATAATCATGTTTAAAAGCTTTCTATCACTCTTGTTAGAGAAATTGGAGATTTGGATATTTTCAATCAAATAAGAGGGGGTTGGAGGTCTAGTGAACAGATAAAGTAGCTAAGGTTCTTGTTTCATTCTCACAATTTTTTAAATTTTCAATTGTTCTCAAACACTCTTTTTTTGCATTCTATTTTGCTTATTTTAACAAAATGTATTAAATTAAGTATACTTGAATGTCATATAACTAATTTCAATTCATTTAAAAGGCTAATCATGCAAATAAAATACAAAAACTAACCTCACAAAACTCATATAGAGATAAAAAGTTACACTTACATGTTAAATATGTGGTAAGTAATGGATGGGTAAAAATATAATTTGGTCCTTAGATTTTTAAGTTCAGTTTTTATTTGGTCATAGATCTCAATATGTCACACTTTTATTCCTAAGTTTTGAGTTTAGTTTTAATCTGGTCTATCCGTTTCAAAATGTTGCACGTTTACTCTTAAGTTTTGAGTTTAGTTTCCATTTAGTTCATAGATTTAGATTTCAAAATGTTAACACTTCCGTCCCTTAATTTTCATTAGTGCTCGCTTTTGGTCCCTAATGTAACAAAACATTCAGACATGTTCATTTAATATTGATTTATATTATTTATATGCTTACGTGGCAACAATATTTATTTTAATAATATTTTAATAAGTGGTGTGGCAGAAAAAATAATAAAAAACCTCTGTAATAAAATTGACTAAGTTTTATTAATTGTTATTTATTCTGCCACATCACTGTTGAAATTTTATAGAAATAAATATTTTTACCACTAAACATATAAATAATATAAATAAATACTAAATAGGCCCATCAACATCCTAACAATAATATTATGTAATAGCGTGAAAATTCTGGATATTTTGAAACCTAAGAATCTGATAATGGAAACGGAAATAAGAAATAAAAGTGTTACATTTTGAAACAAATGGAAACTAAACTCAAAACTTAGAGATCAAATGAAAATTGAGTCGAAAACTCAAAAGTAAAAGTGTAACATTTTGAAACCTAATTAAGTACCGAGCGAAAATTAAACACAAAATTGAGTGATCGAAAAGTTATTTTTTTTCCTAATTGTTTTGCAAAAGTCTTTAAACTTCACTTTAGGAGCAAGTTTGGGTAAATGAATCACCATTTGGAGGCTCCAAAAGCTTTATGGGATAGGTATAATTTAGTTTGATTGGAATTCTTTGATCTCACAATTGGGGAGACTTCTCTCTTAAGGAGTGATACCAAAACTTTGGCTCCTTGTTAAATTAGGGTTTTTTTTTTCCTTTGTTTAAGAAAATAGTTTGGATGTCTATTTTCCACTCCATCTTTTGGCTTTTTGTAAATATTTTATATATGATACTTGTGTGTTTGGAGTCGTAGTTCAACATCTTAAATCTAAGTTTAGTAAATCCAATAGATTACAACTCAAGAGTTTTAGGAAACTTTGTCAAAGCGAGCATAGCTCAACGGTAATTGGTATATACCTCCAATCAAGAGGATGCGAGTTCGACTTTTTGGCATTTCTAATTTCTGGAGTCTTTAACCCCTCTTAGCAAGGAGGCAGAGAAACTTTCGAGTTATTAATCGAGAATAGAACCAACGGGCGATGCTTGGGTACAATTTAGAATCCGTTATTATATGTTTGCTCTAGTTTCTGATGTTGAAACGGTTTTAGTGTAAACAACCGGTATACCCCTATATAAGAACAATAAATAGTTACTAAATGCAAACATATTTTTCTTTATTAAAAAAGATGAAATAAGACCGTTACCGAAAGAACCCTTAGAGACTAAAATAGACATTTCAAAATTTCAAGGACTAAAATAGTTATTTTTTTTAAAGTTCATAAACCAAAATTGACATTTCAAGAGTTTACGAACTAAAACGAATATTTTTTATAAAGTTTAGTGACCAAAATAGAAAAAATTTAAAAAATTACGAGATCAAAATAAGATTTAAATTTTTTTTTCCTCTCTCAAAATCCTCATCATCTCTCATCTATCATTCTCTCTCTCCTTGCTCCCTTTCTCTCTCAACCTTTATAGAATATTTAAACATTTTGGAGAACACATTTTCTGTAAAAGTTTTAAAAAATTACTTTTTTTTCCTAGTATAACAAGTGGGAGTGGGAGAATTTAAACTTATGATTTCTTGATAAAAGACAAATATCAATTATCGTTAAACTAAGTTGGCGTGAAAAAAGAAGGAATTTATTATACTAGGAAAATTTTCTTGTTGCCTTTCGAAAAAAGAAACGTTTTCCTTATCAAAATACACATTTGGTCCCTAAGTTTGAGGTAACAGTTTGGTTCCTGAGTTTGAGGTAGCTCTAAATAATCCCCGAGTAAAATTTACCAAGTGACGGAAAAGTGACATGGATTGCTAAGTTGGTACCGCTCCCGTGCTCCTCCCCCAACCATGGTACCATTTAAATTTGAAACAATACAATGGGAGGAGCACAGGAGCGGTGGAGAAGAAATTAATAAATATTAACATGTCATTTAAAAATCACCAACTTAACAATCCATGTCAACCTACCTTGGAACCAATTAAAAATCAAATTCAAATTTAAGGGACTAAACGTGTCACTTTAGAAACTTCGAAAACTAAATTTAAATATCAACACCGAAAACTATGGTTTTTTAAACTCTGGACCAAATAGAAAATAAGTCCAGATCTCAAAGATAAAAATGTATTTTACCATTTTTTCAGAAAGAAAAATATCATAGGTATACCTTAATAAAATACATACTATATTTGAATATAATAAATGCAATCCACATTTCTGATATAAGTGAAATCCATATAGTAAGTTTCTGTTCAGATCAGATTTTAAGAACAAAATATAACAACAGAATCAATTAGAAGACCTAATAAAGCCTCAGGTAAATCTGCACTCTGCAGCTTTGAGTTGGCAGAATGTGTTAAAATGGGGGAGACAGACTCCATTTTTATTCAGAAACACACATTCTTTTCCACACATCCAGCTACCATCACTCTCTTTATAGCCTCCCGAGACAGACTGACTCGAAAACCAGGAACCGCGCAAATCTACCGCATCCAAACCCACCATTTACAACAAGGAAATAAAAGACATATGCATAAAGTTATCCGACCAAACATAGCAGGCATACGAGGATAGTAAAACTATTCGAAGCATACACAAGAAGAATTTGAACTCGGGGGTGGAACCATGTACATTGCCATCAAGACTGAGGTGCAGGAGGACCGGCAGGAGTGACGGGCTTCAGAAGAGGCTGGAGAGCTTTCACGACGATGCTCATATTTGGTCGGAACTCAGCTTCATACTGCACGCACAAAGCGGCCACGGCTGCTAGCTGCATTGACGAATGAGAAATGTAGATTCATTAATCAGCTGAAAGTAAGTCGATATGGAACGAACTCCGAGCTTGTGTAATGTTGAATTATAAAGAGTACCTTTGCAACTCCTTTAGGAGGGTATTCCCCCTTTAGTCTTGGATCTACACACTGCTTGACTTTGTCCTCACTTAGCCTTGGAGTAGCCTAAAGTAATTGAATGGAAAAAAAATTGTCACCAATTGGATAGGAGGGGTTGAAGTATCGATAAAAATTTGAATTTATCGTAATTCATTCACTTAAGTTTCGAATTTAGTGACTAACTAGACACTGAGGTAGCGTGCCTCAGCAAGAGGGCCTCAGTGCCTAGAAACACTTTACAAAACACGAAGAGAGGAGAAAATCGAGAACCAGGCAACTATACAAAACTCACCCAGGTGACTAAACTTTGCTGTCCACGGGGCATCGTGTGATCGACGGGTTTCCTACCCGTCAAAAGCTCAAGTAGAACCACACCAAAGCTGTATACATCGCTTTTCTGTGTCAGCTGTCCAGTCATTGCGTATCTGCAGAAAGACATTATCTGTCATCTTTCCAAAAGTTTCTAGTTAACAAGTAAGAAAAGCATGCATATGTGAGAGCAGCATCTTTCAAAGCAAAAGAGACCTTAAAAAATGTAAAGTTTTAGTCTCACAGTGTCACCCAAGCTATCAATTTAGAAGTCTTAATACAATCAATGTGAAAACAAGAGAGGAGAGTTTTAGAAACGTTACTCTGGAGCGTGATAACCAAAAGTTCCCAAAACCCGAGTTGAGTGAAGACGGGCTGCCATATCAGGCGCTTGATTGGAGAGGTTAAAATCAGCTACCTTTGCTTTAAAATCCTCGAAGAGAAGTACATTACTGGACCTGATATCTCGGTGTATAATCGGAGGTTGAACCTTCTCATGCAAGTATTCCAGCCCTCTGGCTGCATCAACCGCAATTCTCACTCTCTGGATCCAGTCGAGCACCGGACCGGGCTGTGCTCCTTGTACTCCCTTCCTGCCTTTAATTATGGAGGACTCATATCAGCCACCTGATCTTCAGTAAGTTATAAATAACATATTCATATAGTAAAGTTCAAAGGATGGGATACCATGTAACACATCATGCAAAGATCCCATGGTTGCGAATTCATATGCCAACACCCGAAGATTTCCTTCAACACAATACCCGAGCAATTCGACAAGATTTTCATGTTTCAATCTTGATACAGTAGAAACCTAGAAGCCAAAGGATATCATCGTTGAAATATCAAACAAATAAATTACATATGAAAAAAGGTAGAAAGTGATTGACGTATTTATCCCAATATCTAACAAACCTGAGTCAAAAACTCGATGTTACTGTCAGGCTCAGATGAAACATCAAGCTTTTTTACAGCCACATTTTTTCCATTATTCAAATTTGCATAGTAAACTCTACCATAAGAACCTTCACCAATCAATGCTTTGGATCCAAAATTATCAGTCATTTCTTTCAGTTCATCCAGAGACAGTGCAGGCACTTCAATTGTTGGCGCCGCCTTTTGTGCCTCAGCTTTAGCAGGAGCTGACACTTTAGAGCCCTTTGGGTGACCTAAATGAATGGAATATAAAGATTTATTGTATATAAAGAGATAAACAGAAAATCCAATAATAGATATATTATCACCAGTTGACTGACACCATTCTTCAGTGTAGGTATACAGAATAAATTTCTTTACTACACACAAAATTAACGGAATAGAAATTATCCGTCTATTCCTGGCTTGGCCCTTTTGGGGTAGACTTATGGCAATTAATGATTTTCTCCTAAATAAAAATATTAAGACTCATTAACCAGATAAATCCAATAGTTTCGATTCAACCAGAACTATACACAACCCTGTATAAATAGATAGTCAAATACGTGCTGAAGAAAAATGATCCTGAAAGTGATCTGTTAACCGAAGAGCCAAAGAGGTTCATCAATTATGTTTGCATGAAGATTGTATGCTTGACAATGCCAATGAGGATGGTTAACAAAAAACTTCTTAAAATCTTCTCCACAAGTTTTCAAGTTCTAATTTTAAATCCCGATTTATAAAAGACCACTTTATAATATCCACTCACTTCATAGTTTATTCTTCTTTAGACCCAATTCTCTGAACTTCACAATGTCCTCCAGGTTTACAATTAAAGACTACCACTGTCCATAAATATGTGTGTGTGCGGGCTGAAGACGACCATCTTAGCTTATATATTATTAGGTAATCAAGAAATTTAAAGGATATTTTCTTACACTATTTGGTAATCATAAGATTTGGAGGATACTTGAATCTACACGGTGTTTTTATAAGAAATGAAACCATAACCTCTTGCCTGATTCTGAATTTTCGTAGTCAACCCTGAAATTCCATATTTAATTGATTGATGGAATTTTCTCTTTCTCATTCGAAATATCTTTACCCATAGTTGTGGCGGATATATACTAAATAGTACCTAAGCCCTACACAATCTTCCCCCTTCTTTCACATTGATAAGTAGCAAGAAAAGGAAAACTAACCATCTGCAAAATTACTAGGGCTTTTCAGGTGCTCATTTTCAGTTGCTGGATTAGTCTCTTCAACTTGACAAGAACAACAAAGCCACTTGCGCATTCTCACTTTCTTCTTTTGATATTGATTATTCTCAGTACTTCTGTTCTCCGGTTGTAATAAGCCACTAATAGGACGGGCATAAGCCTGCACAATGAGAGCACAGTTTAACACAAAAGAAACGCAGAAACACTCTAACGATTAATTGCACACTAACAACACTATTTTACCAATACTAACAATGGGGAAAAAATGGAGAAGGTAAAAGATGGAAAGTCTAAAAGTAAACAAGTAAATAAAATTAAAAAAAACAACCCAAAAGGAGTAGAACTTTTTTACAACGGGGAGTCCGAGCTTTGCTCCCTATACATAGGGGCATCTGTGCCCGCCCCAAGGTCCGGACCCGGGAGACATCAAGGGTCCCAAAAGGAGTAGATAGAACAAACATTATATTAAATCGGTAGCCTTGTTAGTATTAGAGACCTTCACCAAACTACTAGAAGTCCTTCCATTAAGAGTTTGAACTTGTAGTTGTTGCATTAGACACAACCACATTGGAAAAGATTGCATAATAACGATTAAAGGCTCTAAACAATTCAATACTGGATAATAGGCTCATAGAGAAATGAAACCGTTTGGATGTATTATAATTATTTATGCCGCGAGATACTCCAGAAACTGAGACTACAGCGTTCAACAGATTTAAGTAAGTAAAATGACAAGAGAAATTTTTCAAAGAAAAGGAATATAATGATGTAAAATTTGAGGAAATGAGATGGATTCAAAAGAAGGATCCATCTGGGAAAATTTAATAATCGCCTCATCAGATGGATGATTATTATTTCTTACCACCAGCAAATGCCTACGAGAGTCAGAGTTCTCCATCGAAAAAGCAAGCGAAATTCAAAATCAGAATGCGAGAAGAAGCACCCAGAAAAGGAAGTGTAAATAGAAAAATCCCCAATTCATCGTCTACGCAAAAGAAATTAAACCGATACGCGTTTTGAAACAATCCCAGCGAAAACCCAGCAGAAATTCGCCCAAAAGAAGAGCAAAGAAACGAATTCTTGCAAAACCCAACTGAATAGAAGAACGGACAGAGAGAAATTGTACCAGTAATTAACCGATTTCCAACTCGAAATCAAAACAAAACAAAAACTGTAGCGGAATGGGAAAGAACAAGAGAGAGAGAGAGAGAATTGAAGTACCTGTAAACTGGTCCTTGGGTCGGTGGGTTAGAGCGAGAAACCGAAGAAGAAGGCAATTACAGATGGGATTTGGGATTTTGAGGGAATTTTTGTAAATTTAGTGTTGGGATTTCGATTCAAAGCGAAGCAAAAGAACAAAAGAACAAAAGAGGGAATGACAGAGAGGCAAACGCCGAAGCCAAGCTCACAACTCTCTCTCTCTAACTTTTAGACTTAATTTTCTCAATTTTCTTTTGAAGACAGAGAGAGAAATGAAAGAGGAGAGAGCGACAGAAGCTTCCACTTTTTTTCAGCACTTTGTTTTCACTCTTTGCCCTTTCTACTATATTGACATTTCAATTTTGTCTTTTTTTTTTTTCTTTTGAAAATTTCAAATTGTTAGGGGTAAGAAAATACTTTGCCATGCGGTTAAAGGTCGCGTAAGAGCTCGGTTGGACCAAAAAATGTGAATATTGAACGAGTCGAGTCGAGCCGAGCCGAGGTTGTGAGACCTAGGTGGGGATGCTTTGATCAGTGCACGAAAGGATCATCGACCTAGATATGACGTACTATGACCATAACTGTACAAGTGCCACCCAAGTGTATGATTGCTATGAGATAAGCATTGAAGTACTTACATGAGATCACTCAGCTCGATATTGTCTCAATCTAAAATACTAATTTAAGAATTAAAAGTATGTTGAGTATAACACTACACCAAACAAGGGGTGTGTGTGCAAGTCGTCACCTTAAATGAATAATCTCCATTTCAGTTATAACGTCTGGAAGATTCATACATCAACACAGTTGCACCTTTTTTAAAATTGTAATTACTTTTGAGTGTAGTTTCAATTTAGTCCTCCATGATTTTAGATGTTTCAATTTAGTTCTTTTATTATTTATTGCATTCATGTTTTAATTTAGTTTATACGATTTAGTCTTAGTTTGAATTCGGTTCCTACGGTTTGAACTTAGTTCCAATTTAGTTTTTATCATTTGGTCAAACATCACACAAATTGACCCTTATGGACCCAAAAATACATATTTTCTTCTATTTTTTACTCAATCCGTTATTTAACTCTGAATCATAATACAATCAACTCAACTAACACCTGGTCAAATATTTATCTTCGATCAAAAGGTCGTGAGTTCAAATCCTCATCCTCACACATTGTACTAAAATAAATGTGTTAGTACGAGAAAGATAGAAATTTGACTAAACCATAATAACCAAATTGAAACTAAACTCTAATCGGAAGCTAGAGAGATGAAATAAAAATAAAATTAAAATCATACCAACTAAAATATTGAAACTTTTAAAATTACACCGATAAAATTGAAACTATGCCTATTATTTTTTAGAGCAATAAAACAATTTTACAAAAAATATGGTGTGACAATATTTCAAACTTTCTCTTAAATTATTGAATACTTATTATTTAGAAATCTTTCTTCAAAAAAAAAACATAGTTTAAATCGATAAGAAATTTGTATCGCAGTATGTTTGAATCTTCACCTTTTATTTTCACCGTAATATTTCCAAAAGAAAAGTTGTGGTTCGATTGAAAAAAATTAGTCTATTTAAGGTTTGTTAGGTAATGTTCTCGTTTCAAATTCTATTAAGAAACACATATATTTGACAACTTATTTATATTTTTTGTTTCTCATTTGTTTAGAAACGTTATCAAAATTGTATAGAAATTTTGGGAACAACAAAAAAGAGTTTCTTGTTTCTTGTTTCGGTTTCCAATTTTTTTCAAAACACAAATATTTTTTTTCATTCTCGTGATAGTTATAAACTGTCATAAAATGATTTTTTTTGTTTTTTCTTATTTTTTTGCTTCATTTAGTGACAGCTATAAATTGTCATAAAAATTAGTTATTTGTGACATTTTAAAATTGTGGCGGATGATCTATTCACGACAAACTATAACAATTGTTGTAATGCACTAATTACAATTTTAAAAAACTATCACGTCCTCTATTTCCTTGATGCCTTTAATCTATGATAATTATTAACTATCATGAATTAAGTTAATGACAATTTTTAACTGTTACGAAATGTCAATTTTGTAGCAGTGACAGGTGTTGAGAGGCTATGCAATTCTTTTATTATTATTATTATTAAAAATGAGGAAACAGAAACGGGAACATTGTCAAGCGGACCCTTAAGATTTCAATTTAATGTTCTCCCTGCATCCATACTCTCACTTGTATCCATCTTGGCCTAAATAAAATGAAGAAAAATAATTTTTCATTAACGTGAGTCTCGATTAAGAACGAAAATGATCAACGCCAAAAAAATAAAGTCAAATTCAAACCTATAATTCTTAGAAGAGAGATGCATTAACTATTAAGTCAGGCTCAAATTAATCAATTTTATGGTTCGTAAAATATGTAAAATAACTTGCAATACCCTTTCGTTATTAATTACTAATTTAACTCTACGAGTTTAAAGGAACTAATTTAGAGTAAAATTTGAGAATTTTTAAAAGATGAGATGAGACTAAAATGAGAATTGTATGGTAATATTTGAGAAGAATTTATAATACCACAAAATATTTGTTATGTATTTTTTCTTTTTTGGGTAAATTTTTGTGAATATAAAACTCAAACCATTCATGAACTTTCTACAAGGAGAAAAATCATCTAAACTTTTCTTACCTACCAAGTTTTCTTCTACCATCTTTTTGCTGTCTTTTCTTTCCTTGTAGGAGTATTGTGTAATAAGTGAGTGGTTTCACATTTTACTAATTTTCTTCTACCTTTTTTTTAAAAATTTAGGTGATAAATATTCTTTTCATCCTTTTTATTTGGTCATTTTGATCTTACGCATCCAAAACGTAAAGACTAAAATGAACAAAAGTTGAAATTAAATTGATGATAATGAACTAAACCTGGTACAACAACCAAAAGAGTATTTAAATCTTAATAGAGTTTTGATTCCTAAGTTCGATGATAGGTTTCTATTTGATTTCTAGTTGTAAAAGGTCTTTAAGAGGCAAAATTTCGATAGTATCACTAAGAGAATGCTAACGGTGAGTTGACAATTTTTAGATGATATGACAATATTTATTATTTTCAGCTTACGTGGCAATTTATTTTCTTTACTCTATTTTCTTTCTCTCTTCCGTCTCCACTACTCCACTCCCCCCCTTCCCCTATGGCCTCGCCATTGCCCGTAGATCAATCTCATTTGTGCTCAAGACCTCAAGGTTACCTCCAACCATTCTCTGCTATTGGTTATCGTTATTTGATGGAGAAGAGATTCAGTTGTAGGCATCTCGAGAAATCCAAGGCCAAGGATTCTCATCAAGCCTCGTTTCTTGAATATCGTTGGATTTGTCGAAGGGTAGCGAGTCGTCCACTAATTCTTCGTCGAATGTGCTCAAGGATTTGAATGGAAAAAATGGAGTACGGGGAGGAGGAGGGAAAGAGGAAAAATACCACGTAAGCTAAAAATAATAAATATTATCATATCATATAAAAATTGTCAATTCACTAATGTCATGTCAGTATTTAGTGACACTAACATAAGTTTGATTCAAGTGACATTTTACAATTATTTTCTAAAGTTCAGGGACCAAATCGTTAGTTTTTAAAAATTTACCAGCAAATTTTGGAACAAAAATTGTATTTTGCCTAAACATTGAAAGCAATCGCAAATTTTAGGTAGAATAGTTTACAAATGAAATAAATATATTCGTATTTGTCTCACTATTTTTTCAAGTTTTAATTCCATGTGTGATAAGTGATAAACATTTTATTTTTTGTTTTTTATTTCTAAAAATTATGCTTAAAAACATTCCTTTCAGTTTCACCTGTGTGTTTCCGTTTGTTATGTAGCTTTAAAAAAGATTTTGGCCAAATTTTGAAAACTAGTTTAAAAAACTTATTTTTGTTTTTGAAATTTGGCTAAGAATTCAAATGCATTTTCAATACCGATTAAAAACTTACAAATGAAATTGTACCAGAACTAGCATAATTTAAAAAAATAAAAAACTAAAAGTGAAATAGTTATCAAATGACACGTGAGCTATCTTGCATTGTTATTTTTCCTGTTTTATTTGCTTATATGGAATTTACTCTTGCATAAATCGAATCACCCGTATTTGTACTTTCACTCGAGAACGTGGTTACACTTGAAACAAAATTAGGTTAGTTTTGATTTTTAATCAAAATAATGTCTTATATATAATTCAACGAGGTTGTATTCTTCAACCAACATGGTTTATTAGACACATGCATCATTAAAATAAAAAAAAATATCACATCAAAAAGCTCATTCGTTTGTCACGTGTATAAATAACTTGTTACATTAATAGAAAAAATGATAATAAAACATTTTAGAATAAATTTAACACATAATAAGTGATTTTTTTTCCTCCTTTTAAGAACTCACATCAATTTTAAAGAGTTACTATGATCTTTTAAGCTTATTCCACTACCAACCTCCATTCATGAAATAATTTAGTTTGAATCAAAGTTCTAAAAGGCTAATGTCGATATAAATATCAAGTTCTCAATTTTATAAAAATAAAAAATTCATAAAAAATATTTAAATCAACGAATAAAAATTTCACCATTTCTAAATAAGTTAAAAATTACTAATATTAATATTATGTCTGTATTAGTGATAATTTGTTGATATTTTTATATTTTGTCGACTGTTTTGCTATACAATGAAATGTCGATTCATCCCTCTGATAATGCCGTGCTCATAGGTGTATAAGATCTATTCCTCATGTCGATGTCGAATCCATAGACATATAAGATTTACCTCTCGTGTCAACATTGAACCCGATGACATCTAGAAATATCGATAAAAATAGCAACATGTCGATAGAAATTTAGTAGCTTAGTTGGAATGGTGCAATAGTAACTGATAAATGATATAGTTAGCTAAAAGTTGTACCACTATTCACTAATTAATGTACAATTATTCCTACTATTTACAAACTATTTTCAATTAAGACTATCCTAAACCCAACTCAACAAAAACACAGTTCTAAAAATTTTCACTATTCAATTTGGTTTTCCACAACAAAATGAACGAAAGAAAATTATTCTGAGATAAAATTTTATTTAGCCCCCTCGAGTTTTATATTCAAACAGTATAAGTTTAGTTCCTCATCTCAAGAAAATGATTATAATTGCTTCCTTAGTAACAAAAAAAAAAAAAACTAATGTTACAATGACAAAAAAAAAAAGAATAATCAAATCGATGAGTTCAATTGTCCCGATTTGAAAATTCATCGGTTCATTTTTAGTTTTCTATTTTAAAAAATTATAGTGGCTTCCTCACCATTTTTCGCGTACGTCTTTTACCTTTCTTAAAAATACATTTGATTTAAAGAGGAAAAAAAAGAAAATCAAATTTTTAAAACCCTTTTTAGCTCCATCCCCAAAGTGATTACACATTACCACTGAACAATGAATACACACAAAAACCTCAACAATTGAGATGGCATTCAATCAAGATATTAAATTTTCATCGGACATATCGACATGTTCATGAATTTGACGTGGACATAAAGATGTAAATAGATATTCCACAGTATTGCAAAAAAATCGATAAATTAAAAATTATATATATCAACAAAATATCGCAAGTGAAGATAACATTAATAATAAGAACCTTTAACTTATTTAGAAATGATGAAGTGATATTTGCTAATTTAAATATTTTTATAATCTTTCCAAAAATATTCATCGACATCGACACTTTATTGATATTTCCATCAATACTTTCATAAAATTAAAATCTCAATATTTCTATCAACATCGACATTTTAAACCTCGCCTCCAATATATATAGACTTATTTACTTGGATATTGACAGTGCTTCTTTTTTGTTCTCAGTTATCAGTTTCAGGTCACATTCCACATATATATATATATATAGCACCTATATAGCACCTAAGTTTCTAATAGCAGTGAGAAACAATCTGGTTTCTAACATTGCCTTAATAGGGCAGAGCTCATTTGCTATCGTCGTCACCACCATACTGAGTAGAATTACCATTCCAAAAGGAATTCCGACCTCTGAATCGTTCTTCGTCGTCGTCATGCTTCAGCGTGTGAATATTTGCTCCAAATCTAGATGTAGACGATGGTTGCTTGCCTCGGGTATTGTTTCCACCCGTCACCATAGCACCTTGGTTTGGTTGGCAGGCATAACGACTCTCTGAATTCGAAGATTCGCTACCTAAAACAAAAGAGAGAAAGTGTCTACTTTAGTTTTAATTTTATTGAATTGAATCTTAAACTTAAATAGAAGGTGAAATTAACACCTTATTAAAACTATATTATAAAATTCCTCAGTACCCATGAATCCATCAATAAATAACACAAAATTTACCAACAAAACACTTGAAAGCAAGCCAAAAAAAGGCCCAAAACTAACCATGCCACAAAATCAACCAGTTAAAAAAAAACACTAAAGCTCAGCAATCCAAACCTAGCTAAAAAGTATCAAACACACCTAGAAGAACCAATGCTCCCCAAAAAAAAAAAAAACCCCACCTAGGCACAAGAATGCTCCTGCCTAAGTAATAATTTCACTACTTATTTAGGTTTTTATAGTTCAATTCCACAAGTTAGAAGGCTATGTATAGGGGCAAAGAAAACATTGTTTTAGGATCGCTTTATCTCCATCCCTAAGAGATCCTCGGTACATGAAGAGAGATATTTTATGCATGAAGCTATTTGATGATGATGAAATACTCAAGAATATTCACTGACATGATTCCAAAAATTTAAACTAATAGGTTACGATAAATTTAAGTTTTTTATAGATACCTTAACACTCTCCCTTGTAGTTCAAACACGGATATCCTGCTCAATGTTAAATTACTATTGAACCCAAAAGTTTAAGCCGACATACTACGGTAAATTTAATCTTTTATAGATACCTTAACACATGAAGTCAACTCAGAGTGGATAGATAGTTAAAGGAACCAAAAAGAAATACTTCGAAGAATTTATGTCAAATCGAGATCTTGGCCTACTTATGTGAAATTGCTATCTTTAGGGGGGAAAAAACTCACTATACTGTCGCACGTCTCCTTGAGTTTCATGTCTGGAACTTTCTGTGCTGGCACCTCTACCAAGATAGGAGAACGGATTCACATAAGATAATATCCTTCTAACGTATGCAAAATATCCATCACCATTTTCATCTGGAGAGGCATTATTGGCTGCAGAGTTTCTTTGATCTGAGGAGGAGGACGCCCCTCTGAAATCGTTACTAACTCCCTGATGTCGAACCATAATCAATGCTTGTCTGTTAGATAGGCCCAAGTCAGATAATGATTTGCCCAAATCTGCAGCAATTCAAATAAATAAGACAATAGTCAACACCCAGCTCTGGGTAAGAATCTTCATGCTATTAAAAACTACAAGTTCAGTTGTCACTGAGTTTTCAAGCATGTGTACGATAGGTTCCTAAACTTATAATGTTGTATCTAATATACTCGTAAACTTATAATGTTGTATCTAATATACTCTTGACCTTTAAAAAGTGTCTAATAAGTTTCCAAATTTTCAATTTTGTAGCTAATAAATCCCAAAATTTTATGAAAGTCAAATAAATTAAACACTTTAAAATTTAAGGAACTAAATTTTTTTTTTTTTTGATAAGAAACATCATGTATTGGAGACAAAAAGGAGCAACAACCTAAGGGCTATTAGAAGCAAAAAAGTTGACTTATTAGACACCTTTTAAAATTTAGGGACTCATTAGACAAAACTTCAGAACTCTGAAAGTTTGGGACCAAACTTATTAATTTGACCTAAATATTAAATAATAATGGAACAAATTCCAATGAAACTTCGAAGACGGAAGTGAAAGGGTTTAATTGAGTCCGTAGGCCGTACATACCAATATGAGTTAAATTACTAGCTGTATTTATAGGATCATAGATAAAACTTTTCAAAGATCTGAATATCAGTTTCAATCAATACCAGCTGATCCTCAGCCACAATCAATGGATGTCAGTCCAAGAATGCACTCTTATTGGAGAAATAAGTTGAGCAACAGTTTTGGTTTTTAAAATATTGCCCGTTTCCGGTGTGGTCCTAGTTCTTTTGTAATTTTTGCTTTAGTCCTTGATATGTTTAATTTATATCAATTACCACATCCATCTCTACTTGTTGGGAAGGCTACCGCAGCCTGATAAATTTTTCGTCATATTCATATCTAATCTCACTAAATTCTACTCTATAATTGATAACATGCCAAAGAAGTCTATACGACAAGATAGCTTCCCAAACTCTAAGGATCAGTATGATCTTAAAATATTGAGGGGGAAGAGAGAGAGAGATGAGATGGAGGAAAAAGGAGAAGAAGATAAAAAAGACAGACAGTGTCCGTGGGGTGATAGAGAAGAAAGAAAAGAGAAAGTTAGGACTTTTTCGAAGATGAAGAAGAAAAATCCAAGCCAACAAAATACAATATAAATCAATAAAGCTTCCCACGCCCTTTTGAGTCAACCATGCAAACATTGTCATGTCATAATCTATCATGACCAGGTCAGTTTTCTATTATTGTCATTAACGTTGTAGTGACGTCAAAAACCATTTAGAAATTTTTTCTATAGTTCAGAAATCAAATGGTAGTTTTCAATACCTAAAGGACTAAATAGAATTAACACAAACTGTGGAATTCAAAAGGGTAATCTATTCAAATATTAAATACAAAGTAAGATTTTAATAATATTAGAGACCAAAATGAAAATGAAGAATCGTCAATCATACACTAGGAGCTATTGAATTTTACCAAGAAACAGTTCAGATCGTACCTTCATCAGTGAAGACCTTGCGAGGATACGGAACGGCTAAATCATAAGACCCAAAGCTACTTTCTTGGCTACTATCCACGTAATCTTTGACCATTCTCAAGGTGCTCGTCTTGGGAAACTTCTCCTGGAGGCTAACACCATTTAGCAACCGAATGTTTAAATGAACATCACTTGACGTGTAATCTTTACGAACACTCTCATTTTTAAAAGCGTTATTCTGATCCACAATTCCGTTCTTTTCCTCTTGGACATCTTTCTTGGCTTCTAAAGAGATTGGTTGTGAAGCTCCTGATTGACATGACTCGGTAAGCCTTGGAGAGATAGAAGAGTCATGCACAGTACTGGAAGTACGTTCAGTGGAACATTTTTGCAGGTCTCCAAGATCTGCCAATGAACTATTCTCTTTCTCAGAGGGATCAGGGGATTCATCATCGTTCCGAACACTCACAGAATGTTGTACATTGGACTCCTTATCAACTGCTTTTATGTCTTCCTGCTGGCAATGACAAAAGAGAATGGGACCAATTATAAGCAATATAAGTAATATAACCCTTTAGCTTAAGGTAAACTATGCTGACATGATACCTTGACTAATTGTTCAGGCCCTTTCTCCTCCTCTACCAACTCCTTAATGACTCCCAGAGTAGTTTCTGAGGAACCAATATGATCATCTGCAGGAGAAACAGCTGCCAAAGAGGAACTCCCTGAATCAGACGGCCTTGAAGTAGATGCCTCAGAATTCTTTGCAGCAAGGGCTGCAGTCAAAACAGATGCCGTAGTTTCCTGCAATTCATTTTCAGATATAACTAAAATTCTTTGGTGCAAGTAACAAAGAGTCCTAAGGATCAATAAAAACAAAAAGTATTTCACAAATATAGGAGGCAAAATAAAATTGCCCGAGTCACCTAATTTTCATTCACATCTTAATATCTCGTCTTTGAAAAGTTTTGGATATCTTTGTAGAACAAAAACACAACTGAAAATAGTGTTAAACCGTAACACACTAAAATTGTATCATGATATGATAGACCCCATGATGAAAATGTATAGTCCTAGGAGAGGGAAGGATGTATGAGTAATTTTACATTTTTAATCCCCATAACGAAAAATGTATAGTCATAGGAGAGGGAAGGGGCTACGAGAGTAATTTTACGTTTTGCAGATTTGTTATTGTGTGGGGACCATGGACCCAGAGCATATTAGTTCGTTTTAGGTATGATGAATATAAGGGGAAAAGATAGGATCTGGGAGGTATCTTTTTAAGTAATTTTCTGTGTACTTGCTCTCTAAGTGAGGTAAGGAGAGGTATAGAGCTCTCGAAACTCCCTTCAGAGTGAGGTAAGGAGAGCTATACCCTGATGCATAAATAAACGGTTGGTTTCCTATCACGATATAGAAATTAGAAGCTACAAGAAAAACTACAATACCCAAGCACTTGGAGAGACCTAAACTATCCCAAAATTACCGTCCAAAATTCTACCCACTTCAAACCCTCCACCATATTGTATTTCTTTTTTTTTTTTTTTGATATCCGCGTGTCCGAGCCAGCTTACACGCACCTTGACTATTCACGGACCAACCGCCTGATCCTACTACATTTGGTTGACAAGGAAACTCGTAGGATATTAAATCCTCCACCATATTGTATTTATAACCACTATTCTAACAAACTATGATAATCATACCTCCTAATGTCCTACTAGTACTAGTATTCTTATTATTTTCCTACTAGTATCCTAACCGGTTGGTAACTAATTTGTTGCTCATTTTGTATTTGATAATACAAGTCCAACTTCGATCTGGCAATGGAGAACAATCTTCTAATTTCATTTTATCTAAAATGCTATTATTTTCTTCGATCCAAATAAGCTATAAAATAACTTTACTGGCATTCTTCCACGAGATTAGCTTTTCCATTCAGCCACCAACCTAAAAGTCTGATAGTATAGAATCAATATCTTGAAACCCCAGGAAAGATTTTAAACTTAACGCAGAAAAAATATCTTAAGAGGTGGCAGTGGATGGAAAAATGTTACCGAGCTTCCATCATGATTCTACAGTTGACACAGATTTATGGTGAGCTGCCATCATGATTTTAAATTCCCTTTTTGTCTTCTAACATGTGTGTTAAGTCTTTTCTAGGCTAGAGAACCTAAGAACTTCCCTTTTGGGTTCTTCAGCAAGCCGGTTACTTGGCTACCATGTGGTGTATCACTGGAAAGAAATAGGAAAGAGTTCCTCGAAAAAGATAGTTCTTGAGAGGATGTGCGGAATGTGGCATTTCACAATACTCCTTGGGTTCTCAATTCTAATCTATTTTGTAATTATCTTTTGGTTTTGGTTACCAAGAGTTGGGGGATAACTTTTTAAATCGTTTTGTGGAGGGTCCCCTTGTTTCAGGTGGACCCTTCGTTTCTTTGGTAGCTCCTTGCACTCTATTCTTTCATCTTCCCAATAACAATTGGTTTATATATATATACACTATATACACTATATTTAAAAAAAGAAAAGAAAAAAAAAACCATAAAAAATTCACTTTTTTATGGACTTCTTTCGAAATCAAGTTTGTAGTATATTTATCCAGCTTAGAAGGATAGGAGTTAAAAAAGGCCAAGGCAGCTTTGCAAGCAAAATTTCCAGTATTGTCAATGTTCTAAAGCCATCTATCTTGAATAAGAGAGATTAAGAA